ATTATATCTTTGAGATTGTTTGGAATAGAATCAAACCTTGATTACTAGGAACTCAAGTGTCTGACATTGTCAGGTATTCATTGTATCTCAGAGATAAGCAGAAGATTAAATTTACTTGCTGTTTTGTATGTTTCAGCGTGAGCCAACTTATCTGCTGCCATTTTTTTGTATGCAAGTGTTTGATTTCTGTGTGAATCTGTTGGGTGCTGTTGGTGCAATCAGTTATATACCAGAGCTGAAACTCATGCTAAAGAACAATGTGAGTCTCAAGTTTGGGTTGGTAGTTAAATTTAATTGCTAAATTATATTTTCATTTTCATCTCGTCATCCTGATGTTGTGTGAATGAATTGTTTTATGTGGTTCTTCTTGTGCTTAAAAATAATTGATGATGCCTTTTTTGCAGAGAGACTCTTTTTAATAAAGGTTTTTGTTCAGAAAGATTGGACGTAAGCATTGGCACAATGGGGCAAGGGTTTTGATTGTTTTTTGCCTTTTGTTGCAAAACCACCTGAGATAAAGATGTACTGTATAACCCAGCTAACTCAAACTCTTAAGGGAAATAAATAAGTTTGAGTCAGTAGGGTTCCAGTTTATGTTGGAAGTGTATGTCTTTTCAGTATTTTTGTTGACCTCATCTTAATCATTTTTAATTTTAATAAAGTATACTTTTTTTGACTCCTTGTGTTGGTTTAAAGCCCAACTTTCCTGTTGGTGATGCTGTGGACAAAATGGACATGAAGACTCTGATGTTGACAGTTGTGGTGGTGTCTGTAACAATTCTAACTATTAAGGTAAGCTAATCTGGCCTGTTGCTCTTGTTACATGCAATAAAACATTTACTTAGGAGTAACTCGCATGCTATTGGAGAGATACATCCTGGGTATAATAAAAATTTTGTTTCGTACAGTTTGAGTCACTGTCTTAAAAGAGAACTGAGCATTGGTTGAATAGATGTTTTTCTTTTTTCAGGCTTACTTGATTGCCTGTGTTTGGTCATGTTACAAAATTTTGCTCAGTTTCCATGTGAAGAAGGCCAGAAACTCGTTCATGTTTCAAATCAATCAGTCAGATGAAACTGAGGTGAGTGTTGTCTATTTAGTTAGAATTTTTTTTTTAGAAAGTTTGATTTGGTCTGTCTATGTAGAGCAGAGTATTTGCTGACTTCAACCTGACTGATGTCAAACTGAAAGGTGGCTTTCTTTTCTTACATTTAATGTAGGGTTTTATGCAGGCCTATTAAACCAATGTTAACCTGTTTTACCTGATTAGAAACTTAATATGTCGCTCACCAGATATTGTATGAATATATCCATGGTATTGTATCCTTACGAAGTTGTACACTTGCAGTATGAAAATATGGCAAGTACCTTACCACAACATATATAGGGGTGTTGTATGTCATGGTAATGGGACCATTTTCCTACCACTGCATTGAACCTGGTTTGATTTCTTTTGGTTGTGGTAATAGAACCCAGCATGAGCCTAAACATGAAACACCAGAACATGTTGGAACACTGTGAAATTAAAAAAAAATTAATATTAAATTTGATAAAAAAAAAGTTAAACTGATTATGTAAAATATATAAACTGAATTTGTGTGTAGCTTGCGCTCTTAGTGCGTCAAGTTCGCCATCTTAGTTTTTGCTGACCAGTAAACTCACTGTTTTGCAACATGGAGAATGGTGGTTTTCCATTCATGTCATCTGCAATCCATTGTTATCACTTCAAATGTAATATGCTCAACCTCTCATAATATGCCCACTAAAAAACCAAATAAAATTTTGGAATCACATGACATTTCTAAACAAATATCTCATACTCAAGGAATCTTTCAGTAACATATTGGTGAAAATGTCTGACTGTTGAGCATTTAGTCCATTTGAGACTGTGTCTGGCAGTCTGATCAGAAAGGCAGAATTCTGAGTGTCAACAATCATGCAATATTAAAGTATGAACAAGTTTGGTGAGTTTTTCCTCTAAGACAGCAAACTACAGAAAAGTTGTCTGATCTAACTTTCGAAAACTTGAAAGCGTCCCTTGTCAAGTTCAAAGGTCAAAGAAATTCAGACATGTGCACAATTCTGTGTCAATGTTAGTATGTATTTTATTGATAAAATTATACAGTAAAAACACTAGTGGCCCATGTCCAAATCTCAACATTTCATACTTGACAAAAAGCGAATTTGCGGGCACATTTTGTGCGAGCGATCGTTCAACACCATGTTGATTTGTCGAAAGAAAGCTGGGCAAGTGTTAAAACTTGAATTATAAAGTACTGTCAGCAATTTCTGAAAAAAATCGTTATCTCTGGTTCTATTGGGCCTAACAAGTCCCTTAAAACAGGAAAATTCTCTTTAGTTCAAGCTAGTGTTAAATGGAAATTTGTTACTGATGTGCCGGATATCTTTGGATTATTTTTGTCATCATCAAGGTTTTGTTTTCACGCATGCCGGTGGAATTTGTTTATCACGCAACTAATTATGCGTTAAATAAACTTGAGTTGGCATCATGTTTTCGTGCTGCTTTGTGGCACTCTTAATACAATAAAATTCATTTGAGGGGTGATAATTTTTTCCAATTCAACTACGAGTAGATTTTTAAATTGTCACATAACTTGCACCTCCCTATCACCCGCAGTGGTGTGCGTTTAATGAAAAATCAACAGATTACCCGTGGGTAAATGGCCAGAAATTACGGTAATTTTTGGAATTACTTGACATTTTTAAACAATCATTTGATATTTTTAAAAGTTTGAAAGAACCTTTTGTGGAAATTCTGTGAAATTTTCTGGCATTTAGTCAATTGAGACTGTGCCAGCTGTCGGGCATTTAGTCACAGCTAAAACAAGAGACAAAAAGATCTTCAAAGACTGAAGTTACAGGATGTTCCTGTGTTCCTGCATGTTCTGGTGTCCTGGGTTTTAGCACATGCCAAAGAACCCATGCATATCTCACAATGGGTTTGGAAGGTAGCTCTTGGTGTTGTGGTCTGGCTGTTTTGATGGTAACACTGGCCCCTATTTAAACCAGCTTGAAAGTTGAATATTCTAAAATTTGCAAATAAATAAAATAAATTGTGGTGAGTATTTGTTAGGTCTACACTTATGTTGTTAGTGATGCCTGGTGATTGTTGCTCTCAGGTTCAACTTGAATAACAGGGCCTGTTCATCTACCATGATCATATAATACAGGAGATTGTTAACATCAGTAGCACCCTTATGTTAAAATGTTTTGTTGTGAACCACCACTATGAGTTATGTATGTAACAAGAAGCCACTCAAACTTTATTGCTTTCTTTGCAGACTCATAGTCTTCTGCCAAATTATGAGGATGCAGTTAAAGACACTCCCAAAGAGTCTCCACCTCCTTATACTTCTAATTAATCTGCATACTGTGGACTAACAACAGCTCTGATGCTTTTGTTTTATTAGTAGTTGTTCATTTTGCTCTGTGAAAATTCTTGTAGACATTTGTTTCTAGCTGTGTATAACTATTTAATTTATAATAGGTTAATTCAGCCAACACTTCATATTAGCTTTCTTGGTGATATTAGATATTATTAGATTTCTTTGATGTTCTCAGAGGGACAAACACCATCAGGTCAGTTATTAAACAGGAATTATAAAAAGAAATTATGATAAACATTAGTATAAGTTTTAAATAAATAAATATGGCAAGTAGGTGGATGAATTAGAATTCTTTGTTTTCCAAGGAGCCAGGAGGGATTAGGTTCTATTCTACCACCAGAAGTTGAAAATTTTGAAGCAGGTTTTTAGAAAACCCTGATGATCTGCTTGCCCTACAACTCATAAGAAACACTATGACCACAGTAAGTTAGTGATAGATTGCCAGCTCCCCATCTTGATTTGTTAGAAGTGATCAGGAATGTCATTTACTTGTCAGATTTCAATGATGAGATGAAAACTAAGGACTCCTCTATATGATTATCTTTTATCATTCAAAGCAGGATAATTTAGAATAAAAAATAATGGGTTTCTTTTATCAGGATCAGGCTACTTTGATGCTGAAGTGGTTACTGTATTCAAACAAAAGTGAGGGTTTAATTCAAGTAACTACGCAAAGAATTAAGTCAATCCTGCAATATTTTGGTGGAGAAGTCTTTGTTTCCTGTTTACATTCACTCACTTTCTGCTTTTCTTGAGGATTTTCGAGCCCTAATTAACTGCAAATTTTGTCTTAAAGAGATAATTAGGCAAAATCTTGTTGCGGTATCCTACCAAGCTTTGATACTGGTGTGCTAATTTCTCATCTCACAATTTTCATGCTAAACTTGTTCTGTTCCAAAATTTTCTTGTACGTTTAGACTAGCCTAAAAGTTAATTATTCATATTGGTGGCTGACTCTGTAATGGTCACTTTATTAGGTACTAGTAATATAACAAATGGAAAATGTAACAGAATACTTGCCGTTAAGAAGGAGTGCAGGAATGAAGCAGGATTTATTTAGATGAGTTTGGTTAACTAACCAAAATAAGTGGTGTTGTTGACTCAGTTGTTACGAGGGACTCATTAAAGTTGATCAAGACTTACCCCACCAGTTTAGTGAGTTTTATTCTTTGTTGAGGCACTATCCATAAATTTTTTTTCCTGCTATGTGTTAAAACAGCATGATTAAGGTAAGAGATTGATAAAGAACAAAGCACTTTGTGCATGGGGCAGAAGGATCAGTTATTGAGAATTTAAATGGATACCCCTCAACCTCTTTCAAAGTTGGATTGAACAAAAAATGCAAATATTTTCCTCAGGTCGTTTTCCAGAACAAAGACGAAGGCAATAGTCTTTCAGAGGAAAACCCTTGAGAAATTTATCCTTTAATCAATAGATTTCTTTTCAGTGCTCTATGAAGAGACTGTGATCGAGCCCTCTATCAGTTTGGCTTTAAAACGTTGAGTGTCTCTTGGAATTCTTTTTAATTATTTGCTCGGCCCCACTGTGCTGCGAGGGTTTTTTACCGGCGAGGGTGTCGGAAGACCTGGGTGCCAATGTTTTTCATCATGGCGGACGAATCATTGGCAGACAAGTAAACGTAGTTTACGCTTTTAGCCGCTCTGTTTCAGGAATCTAAGTGTGAGGATGAGGTAAAAATAAGAAACAAGTTTGTTTTATTATTAAAATATCGAGGCACTTTAGTCTTTTCACCGGTGACAACGTTATGCGATATAAACTTAATCATAGAGGAGTTCTTTACTTGATGGAGGTCTCTTATCTAGACATAATGTTGTGTTGAATACTGCTGATGCTCCCAAAACGTATAGATAACTATTAAGCATAAATTTCTCGTTGCCATCTTTTTTATTTTTTTATTTATTTTTGTTTTCAGTGACTGGATTGAGCATGGCTTCCATATCTATCAAGTACAATTAAACACGAAGAACAGAAGGAAGTTTCGTCAGGTTGCCAGAGATACTTGTGGAGAATCAATGGAGCCACAAGACGACGACTTGGTGATGTTTGGAGAGAAACTGGACGAAAAAGGCACGATAAGACCTAATATAACTTTATTTGTTAGAACAGAAAGCTTGAACTGCTGTTAATTCAGTGGCACGTCACGAGACCTTATTTGTACCAAGGTGAAAACTCCTATATACTTGCGCTCTTTTATTCGTGGCAAACTTGAATTACTTTTGGCTGGAACAGTTACTTTGTCTGGCCATCTTTTCTCTCATGTGTGGTCTCTTTTTCTCTGCCACGCTGGTTCACAGAACTCGTATTTTGTTATACTGTTATACTCTCCCACTGATGTAGCACCACAGTGTTTTTTAGAATCTTGCCCTCTTTATCCAGATCTTCAGAGAACCTTGAATTTAGTACTTCACCACAAGTGATGACCTTGAAAAAATGGTGATTAGACCATTTGTAAAGCAGGATGTTTGTGTTTCTCCCTTTTAGATCCAGTTGTCTGTGTAATCTGTGCCAAACTGGCAAAGGATAATGTTGAAGATACAGCAAATGAACATTATTTCCACTGGATTAACTTTATTTTTGTCAAAGGAAAATTCCAAGTAAGAAAAATTTAGTTCCCATTTAACCATGTCTCCAACATACTGGTATTCTATATTGCTTTCGGTCATATCAAGGATGATTGCAGGTCTCCAAGAAGTGGCTACTAGGCAAGTTATTTTAATTGATATGGGTTTAATTTTACAGGGACAAGGTTTTGGTGGGAAAATGTTAAGTGCAATGGAACAAGAACTCAGGCAAAGAAGATTAAGACCAATAAGACTTGAAAGTGCAGTCAAGGCCGTGAACTTCTTTAAAACACAAAATTACAAAGAAATTGGAGAGCCAATGAATTGTGTCTGTTCTGGCTCAGCCTTATTTAGAACATTACAAAGAATGGAGAAATTCTCAAAGATGTAACTCTTTTTATTAAAAGTCTGCACTCTTATTATGTGCAGATTGTGGTATGCTCCCTTGAGATGCTGGCAACATCAGGGAAAACACTTATCAGAGTAATTTATATCATGGCCAATTGATGAGACATAAGCTGTCAAATATTTGTGCTCATACAAATGCATTCTATTAGGTGGATTTGAAAGAAAATTAGTGAAGTAAACAAGATGGCACAGGCAACAACTGAACCCTTCCAGATGTAGCAAGGGAGAGTCTGGATTATGCTGCCTTGTTCCCCACTGATGACTTATGACAATAAATTTTCCACAGAGCCAATTATTTATCGTTATTTCCTAATAAAAAACAATATTCTGCATTTACGTACTAACAGTGTAACATTTCAATTAATGTGACCTTATGGAATGACCTAAAGGAATGACACCAGCACTATCCTACAGTGAACCTGCACACTTAGTCCTGAGTTACATTATTCTTCTAAGTTTAAGTATTAAACAACCAATAAGTTTTTGAATAAAAAATAACTTCAAAAATTAATGTCTTACAGGTATCAGAGGCAAAACACAGATCACAGCACAACTACTAATTAATGACTCTGAATCAGTGATCAGTTATGCTCCCTCTAAATATTGACCTTTATATTTTCGTAACAATAATAGTTGCAGTGTAGAAATATGGTCAATAGTTGTCTAACAGAAGCATTAATTAAGTTTTGTACAAATTGGGTTACACAATAGCACAGAGATCCTTCCCAGCAATACTCTTGGTCAGTTGGGTGTTTGGAGCTGTTTGTCCTACACTTAGGACAACTACTTTTCACTACTTTTTTATTGTTGTATGTCTAAAATGTTCGCTGTTAAAAAAGATCACAGAAGAAACAACACTAGGATTCTTCCTCTTCATCAATGGGAGGTTCGCCTGTCTCCAAATGATCTAGGTCAAAACCCTCAACATCTACTACAGAGGCACCTTGGGATGTACTCAGCTGTCGCAACACAAGTTTCTTGTAAACACCTTCACTAGCCAGCAAGTCCTTGTGGGTACCTCGCTCAACAATCTGGCCTTTATCAATGACCAATACCTGTAGAAAAGGTTAATAGTTTATCTTTATAAGGAATGGAAATTGCCTAACAAATTGTGTTCCAAAACAGATGTTTGCTTGTGGATTCTCAATACAAAAGGGCATATTTCCTTGTTCCTAAAGGATTTGAAGGGATAAGCTAAAATGGAAATTTTTTTTCATCAAGTGGGTATCTCAATCTGGTGAAGACACTAAAAATTGTACATAATTTGTACTGCATAAAGTAAAATCATTAAAAGAAAGAAATATCTTCAAGTAGAGTTCAAACCAAGGTTTTTAAAACATTCTTTTAAAACAAACCTGGTCAGCATTGCGCACAGTAGACAGCCTATGTGCTATTACTAGAACTGTTCTGTTCTTCATGGCCCGATCAATTGCTTCCTTCACAAAATGTTCACTTTCAGCATCCAAAGCACTTGTTGCCTAAAAAGATGATTCAAAATGGAAATCCACAGCAGTTATTTTCCTGGGATTACACAAAGTATATGCTTGCATAACTTTTGCAAATAACAAGCAAAACATTTCAGGAACATAGCATGGCAATGTCCTTTCCTCCTTTCTACTCTTAATAGGGAAAAAATTGAACAATAATCCTCAAAGCAAGACATACCTCATCCAGTAGGAGAATATCAGGGTTCATCAGAAGAGCTCTTGCAATAGCTACCCGCTGCTTTTGACCTCCGGACAACTTCACACCACGCTCACCAACCTGAGTCTGATATCCTTCCTATGGTTTAATTGAACAATCCATTACTATGATGTTTGTTTTACATTTATAAATATTCTGATTAACTGAGTGAGTGAGTGGTATATTACCTCAAATGCTGCGATAAAGGCATGAGCATTAGCTTGCCTTGCAACTTCCTCTATCTATGGACAGAGAGAGGAAAGATAATAAAACATAGTAGTAATTCACAAGCAAGCAATTCTATTTCACTGCCCACATTGGATGGTTTAACTTCAGCAGCCACCCTATGCCTTCAGGTGAGCATTATGCCACAAGTTTCTGTTAGAGATCTGTAGGGTATAGTTGAGGCAGCCAATATAAAGATACTTGATATGAAAGACACCTTGATATAATAGTGTACCAACCTCTTCTAAAGTGGCATCACGTCCATAAGCAATATTACCAGCTATAGTTGTGGCAAACAAAACTGGTTCCTGGCTTACAAGGGCAATCTTGCGTCTCATCCAAAACAGGTCCAGTTCACCTAAGTTTGTTCCTCCTATGACATGATCAAGAACAAGTTTGACTCCAAATTTTTTTTTTAACAATAAAACAAACAAGCCCTTGAATTATACAAGCCCTCCAAAATTTTTGAGAGCTGACCAGAACAATGTGCAGACATGGCTGTTATCTGATGGTGTACAGTTCAGTGTTGCAAACTACAAGATCTTTAATCAGTAAAACCATCTTCCTCATCACTAGTGAGAGGCAGAAAGTCCATCTAAGGACAATATTTAACACCAACCAATGGTGATGATGCCTGACTTTGGATCATAGAACCTCTCAATTAGGCTTATCACTGTTGACTTTCCACCACCAGAAGGTCCAACAAGTGCCACAGTCTGACCAGGTCTTAGTTCAAATGACATCTCCTGACAAATGTGAAGTCACAAAATGTATTTATAATCAGTTTTCAATAGGTTTTCAGATGCTTAATAACACACAGGTTCACTTCTAAGGAAATCTTGGTATTTTTCTCAAAATAGTGATGACTTTACCTTGAGAACATCAGTATCTGGTCTTGATGGGTAAGCAAAGCAGACTTCTTGAAACTGGATTGCTTCAAGGAAAAAAAGTTTTAAAAAAATTCTGGACAGTGACTATCATTACAAATGGAACTTAGTTTATGAGAGGATTTTTAGGAAATTTACTTCAAAACAAAGCTTTAACTAACCCTCGATAGACACTTCAACTTAAAATGTATCAACTGACAAATAGGAATAAACCATACCATGAACAAGCAAAAAAGTATAGATGGAAATGTCATCAAAATAAAAATCCTCTTCTGTGATTAACATTCTGTTGTTAACAAATTCATTTCTCCTACCCCTCTGAGAACCAGTTGAATGAAACAAGTGCAAAAATCTAGACTTAATATGGCACCTGGTGGGAATTTGAAGATCATTAAGGCTTGCATTTTCTTTCAAGGTTTGTGCTCTTTTTTTCGTGTGTGTTTATTTCTAATTTTTCTTTTGGATTATTAATGACATTCAATTAATTTTCATCAGTGAATCAGCATTATGTTCCAGCAGGAAAATCACTTTTAGTTGAAAATATTAGTAAATACATGCCTCACACTTGACACTTACTTTGATTAACAGAGTGAAGTTTTTGTCCTCCTTCCACATTTATAGCAGGTAAGCGATCCATCAGCTGAAACATGCGCACTGATGCACCAACAGCCTGAAAAAACAAATTCTATGAAGGTTAAGAAATTCCATTAATGAGTTGTGCCAATGTTAATTCAACTGAAGTTGCCCTACATTTTTCAGATCATCACAATAATGAAAAAAAATTGAATAAGAAGTGAAATAGAAACTGAAAATTTAAATAGAATTCAGCTACACTTTTTCCACTTTAAACAATTTTTCTTTAATTGCAGTGGCCCCTTGGGCATCTAAGGCTACCAGCAATGGTAGAATGGAAATGCTGCATGTGTGCATTGTCTCTATGAAATGCAATCAGGGTTAACCCAAAGGGCAACACAACAATAGACTGGAGGGGGAAGGGGAAATGGTTTAAATTTGAACTAGTCTAGACCAACCTGCATAAAGTCTCCATACAGAGATGAGAGGAAGGCAAATGCCATGGCCACATTTAAAGTGTACAGCATAAATGCTTGGAAACAATAAGATGAATATTCATATTGTTATTAATGATGACCAATTATAATTGCCAAATTAATTAATTAGTTTGGTATTCATAGTGAGGAGTAAATAACCCAATCATGTCCTTAAAATTAATTTTCAAATAATTTACCTGTTAAAATTCCAACATTAAGTTCACCATGATTGACTAGATTACCACCATACCACAAGACCAACACAACAGCACCCTAACATGTAAATTACAAACAATCAGCAGTCGATATAAACAATAATTACAACTGAAAAATGTTTTTCCTCCTTAGGGAATGTGTAATAAAACTTGAAAAACAGAATGATTCTTAAGATATGAAAGACATAAAAGAAGCTTACACAAGCACAGTTCTACTTCAAGTAACAAACCTGACCAATAATACCAATGACACCTTGAAATAAACCTGCAGGTAAAATAGAATATTGAATGTTAAAAAAAGCATCACTGACAGTGACTCTCCTTGACTTACAAAGAAAATTCTCGTTATACAGAAGTAGGCAAGATCAAAAAATGGTCTGGATTTATTTGATTCCCGATTTTTACCCAGAATGGATACAAAAATCAACTATTTACCCAAACTACTAATTATAAATAATAATTTCTATTCTCGTAGTCGTTGTACTGACCAAAAAGGTATACCTCTATGATGTTTCATTGCTTCTCATTTCTCCATTGCAAAATAAACAAAACTTTCTAGTCTTCTCAAAAGAAAATCCATTCTTGACTATTACCCTTACAACAAGGGCTTATAGACTGAAGCAACTTAAAAGCAGATTTTGTAAAAATAAGTAAATAAATAATAAAAAAAACTAAAACTGTCTCATCATGCAAAAAAGAAAAACCATCCTGTACCTGAAAAAAGGGCAAGTTTCGCTCCAACTTTGTAACTCTTATCAATATCAGTCCCATAGTTTCCCATGGCTTTACGCTCTTGAGAGAATGATCGCACTGTACGTATGTTCCCAATTGATTCTTCTGCAGTAGCAGAAGCTGCGGCTAACTCATCTTGAAATTTCTTCCTTAATCTTTGTACATAACTTCCTAAATCACCAGGAAACAATTATAGTGCCACTTTCAACAATTTCCAATGATGAGGAAACAAATTGTTCAAAGCTTCCCAGTTTTACTAGGGATCTAGAATTTTACTTACTTCACAGTTGAAAGAGAAAAGTAACCATTTTTAGAACTGAACTGGAATGGAGCGAAACAGGGTAGGGTTTTCTCCATAGCTAAACCTCATTTTCCAACCAGAAGGGTAGTTTTCTGTCTCACAAACTAGCACAAAGTGACACCGTTATAGACATATTACGTTAAAAATGAACTTTTTTTGACCAGCAAGCTTTTCAAATCAATCATCAGTTTCCTTTTCAGAAGGTACTCAGTATTCCTAAGGCAATAACAATTAAAAGTTTCATAACTCAGCTAACCCACCATATTGCTGAGCACCAATTCCCACAATGGGAACAACAGATATAAGAACTGCAGTCAACTTGGCACTCAGAGTAAACATAAAAACCAAGGAGCCAATGATCTGGAATATGTACCGCAGTAACATGGAGACATTCACCTTCACAAAAAATGAACACAATCATTCAGTAACTCTATTTTCTTCATCTGCATTATATTTCCTTGCAAAAATTTATCAGTTCACATATTACTACCTTCAGTTAGTAACTGAAAATAAGAGGAAAGGTCCTATGGTAGAAATGTGACCTTAGAAACCGTGTACTATTGATTGCTAACATTCTGACTGAGAAATTCCTGACACAGATGTCCCTAGATAACTTTATTTTAATCTTGAAATTGATTTGGAGAAATTGAGTTTATTAATGAATGAATCATAATCAATGGAACAAAAGCAGGTCAGAGCTTTATAGGGTTTGTGTGAATATATATTTCATAACATTAAGCAACAAAAAAATTCCAAATAAACCAGTTACACCACTCACTGTTAGGGCATTTTGAATGACTTGAGTATCTGATGACAGTCGGTTGATAAGTTCACCAGTCCTATGAGCACACAGTCAGGAAAATGACTCTCAATCAATCAGTGTATTATCTTAATTCATTGAGTGTTTTACCAAATTCACCAATGAAATTGGTCCTTATACTAAATTAATGTTACTCTAATTTATTTATTGTTACAATTAAAAGAAAGATGGTCCCTCAATCAGTCTGTTAATGAAGGAGGTGAGGAGTGAATCAAATAATCTTATCAATGAATTTATTATTTACACTGGGCAAATTAAAATATCAACTGAGTTAATAACTCGAGTTATTTTTTATCTTGTTCCACACATCATTTCGTTATTTATAAGAAACTAAATGTTTTTCTTACCGGTTATTGTCAAAAAATGCCACTTCTTGACACATAATAGCATTAAACAGCTGAGTAAAGAAATTAGATAAGAATTTCAGGTTAAACATGAAATTAAAACACAGGCATTGATACTTTCCTTAGTATGTGCAAAGTACTTGACATGTAAAGAAAACTGAAAATCCAACCAACTTTAGATTGATTGATTGCAGTTATTACAAGTAATGTTCTAAATTATGTAAAGAAAGATTCTTGCCTTCTTTCTTATCCTAGCCACAAGCCGCTGACCAGCTAAGGTAAAGAGCCAAGCTCTTACCAAAGCAGCAAATGCACCACCAAGGTAGACAAGGGCAAGGATCATGATGGTCTCATTTAAATGCTCTGTGATGAAAAAGAAATTCACAACATTGACATACTGGTTATGACATTGTTATATTCTTACCATATAACTACTATGGTTTACTTTGCAGCCAGCAGCTCCCAGCTACGGGGGTCAAGTAGATCAAGGCTCCTCCACTGGGTAACCTCAGGGTAACAGGAGCAGCTATTTAAACTTTAGAATGGCTACTGTTTGTTTGTCAGCTTATTTTGTTTCCCATCTGACTGTTCTGCCTGCTAATGGCAAACTGACCCTAAACCCTAACCCTGATCCTCACCCAACCCTCCTTATTCCCTCTCCCTCTGGATAAATTAATGCTGAACATAGACAAATCTCCAATAATCTGCTATTGTGAACCATTTTCATAAAAGTATTCCTCAAATGTTAACTATATACATCACCATTCACTTACTCATGCCTTTCTCTGTTGCTGCCTGAATTACTTTACCAAAAAAGAAAGGAGCTGCAATTTGCGCCCCACTGGATGCCAACAAAGCCAAAGATGCTATCAACAGTAACAGAAGTTCCTGTAAATTAACAAATGCATGTAAGTTTGGAAAACAAAACGAGAGCTTGTAAATATGAAAATTACTGACATCATATTTTATTACCTTTAGTATTTCTGAATAAAACTCTGATGAACACCATGCACATATCACCCTGACATGTGTTTTTATATCCTTTTCAATATATTTAAATTTGGTTAGAATTATGAATAATTTTACACAACAAAACCAACTTCATTGAGTTGTTAACTCATTCATGCCAAAGAAATTAACATGAACATGTTACGCAAAGTCTAAATGTCCTTAAAGGACCAGCCAGCAAAAGTAAATTGCTAGATATTTCACCAAAAAAAGTTTCTTGAATGAATACATTAAAAAGAAATGTTTACAAAATCAACTAAAACACTTACTGGTTTGGCCAGAGTCATCAATCTTCCTAAATTGACCTTTGGCTTCCTTTTGGCTTCAGTATCATTAGGAGTATGAAGAATTCGCAGCAATTTCAGTCGTCTCATAGCAACAAAACTACTGAGTGCAAACACAGTTTCCAAGAAGGAAAATGCGACAGCACTTATGACCAGGGCAAAGTAAGTTGGATGGAGTTTATGCTCTTTCTGTGATCTTACTTTATAAATAAGAACACCTTTTGTTACACTGTAAGCAAGAGACCCGAGACTCAAAAAAATTGCAAGAAAATGGCACCAGCATTTCCTTGATGCAAGTTTTCTGTCATAAGGGTAATCAATCTGCTTCATGGACAATTTTTCTAACCAGTGATAAGAAAAGAAGAGAATGCTGCACTTCACAAATGCTATTGCCGCCAAGTCAAACACCGAGTCTTTTATCTTGAATTGCATCACATTGTCCTCCAAGTACTCATTGTCTCCACCACAAAGCCATAGTGCAACAGAGGACACCAAGTCAGTAAATAACAACACCTGAACCAGGATTGTAAAACGACATGCTGGTAATGTGTAATATCCAGTGTTCATGACACCTTCTTCTCCATTGGATTGGGCCACAGACACACCAACAGAATCCTGTATATGTGCATGACGTTTACTTTCAGAATGTCTATGATCCATCTTGAAATAAAACTTGACCTTGACAGAAACAAAATAGAAAAGACCCTGATATATTGAATACAATTTATTTATCAAAAGTATTAAAGAGCGTGACAGCTGAGTGAATCCAAATGTACTTTCTGCATAAGTATCTCTTAACCCTTTCACTCCCAGATCACATTAGTAATTCTCCTAACTGTCTGACATACAAATCTTATAATGTTAGTTTAGAGAATTTAGTATGGGATCAACTAAGTATCTCCAAATCGATATTTTCCTTTTTTTCTCATCACTTGTTTGGTTGATACTGTATTGATATTGTAAGAAGAAATTCTGTCTTGGTCACTAATGGGAGTTAAAGGGTTAACAATGGATGGCGATCAACATGTCTGTTTATTCTGCATGAATCCACAGCAAAAGGCACCAATTGTTCCCGCATTTGTTACAATTTTTAAATGAATGGCCCAAAGCCTTCTCTGGATAATGTGTTCAACTAGTAATCTCACTAACCTAGCAGTAAATTTTTCACCTGATAGTTGATCAATTTATGAGTTTCAGAGTCGCTACTAGTGAGTTTTGTGTTGGACTTACACCTGGGGTGCCAGATAATTATATTACGTAAGAAATAGCTAGATCTGTATATAACGAACCACCAATCAAGTCATAATGCATATGTGCACACAGTACAATATGTGCTAAAGAGTGAGTTTTGCTCTATATCTGATAAACTCAATAACAATTGAATTATGCAAGGCAAGTTACCAGCTCACACTCCACAAATATTGTAGCATAATCAAATATATAATAATATGCATCTATCTACTCGCTCTAAGCAAATCCCACAGACCTATCATTCGGATAAAAACTGAATCATCAGTAAATTGGAAACCAAATATCTCCATCGTGCATGTATAGCAGTGACAGTGCAAGGTCCAACAAAGCCGGGTGGAAAATTATAATACTACAAACATAGTTCACGCACAGTAAAACAAACTCACTTGTAAAGCGAACGCGAAAGAAACTTTCCCCTTGTTCGGCAGTCTTGTCAAAAACTGCGTAAAGTTTTCGCGATGTCAGCAAATTTTGGAATTGTAGCTTAAATTTAAGTATTGTGTTATGAGTGATGTCGACTATACTTGAAAATCTGCTGAATAAACAATATAAATCCTAACCGTGCACCAAATAAATGCAACAATGTGGCACAAGTCTTTCTCGGCCTGATGAGTGGGGAATGGGGAGAATCACACATCTCTGTTCTTTCCCTCTTAGCTTGTTGAGTGGAAAGTAAGTTGGTCCATCATTAAAATCATTGCTTGTTATTTCTTTGCAGAACCAACAACAAGTAATCTCTGCATTATGGTCATGCATATATCACATGTTAGTGGATCTAAGGCTGATGATACGACCGAGTGGTAAATCATAAGGTACCCATACGGTGATAGCAACGAAGAGGTGGCAAAAAAAAAACAAAAACAAAAGATCTTCTGGGTAAAACAATAGCTCAGCAAGTGTGTTTTGAAACTATTAGTTTTCTTAGTCGTCCTTTAAAAATCAACAATGTGAAATCACCAAAATTTGTTTAGTCTGAAAGTGGATAACTCGACGGCAAACTATTCTAACTAAAAAAAAAATTAATTTTGTTAATCGCTATTTTCCTTGGCGTTTTCGTCCTGCCTGCTCAACGCCTATTATAATTCGACTTGACTCAGAGAAAACGCTCTCAACACAGTGGCAATACTGGGATTGCAAGGCTGGTAAGTAAACAAAAAATGAACACATATCGGTGAATTATAGGGATTACGTTACCAAAAGACTGTGGTGCTGCGTCGATAGGGGAGCACAACAAGATAATTTGATTTTAACAACTGAGTTGATGATGTAAATAGGCCACCGTAAAGAGTAAGCTTCCTCTTTATGGTGGCCTATTTTAACTGTCAACTCAGTTGATAAAACCAAATTATCTTGTATTGCATGTGATTCATTGAAGTTTTCAAAAGGAAACGAAAGTTTTTTCAAGGACTAATTGCCACGATATCATTGCAAATTTGAGAATATACATTCCTATAAGGAGAGTGGTGTCAAACGTTAACATATGGCCCCCTGAAAGAGGAGAGAGAAAAGGTGCAGCTAATATCGCCAGATCCTTGAATTTACCGAAAAATTTACCATTTATACTTGTGAGTTTTTGTCCAACACTAAAAACATTCCTTAAGAAATGTAAAACTGCTTGATTCTCTTGAAAAAGTTAAAGCTAAAGGAAGTAATTTAGGTTGGCAACGCAAAACATGGTAACTGTCATTATTTCAACAATGCAAGACACATTCCTCTGGTAATTTCTTTAACAGTAATTCTTTATTAAAAGAAAGCCCTACACCCTTGGATAGTTTACTTCAGTGACAATGGTACAAAAGATACTACAAAAAAAAGACCACAGAACTGTAAATATACCTAACTTCAAAAGCCTCTCAACTGTACTTCTACTTCTGAAATATGAGATTATCTAAACTTATAGTTACACACACTGCCTCATTCATTCATTCATTCATTCATTCGCTCACACGCATTAATATGGTCAAAACTTGACAAAAGCATAAAGCAACAAAGTATAACAATATGTTAAACCTACACAATACTTGGCTCTGTCCACAAGGCATCACTCATTGATTTAATAATTACATTCTGATTTTTAATGACTTTCCAGATTATAGTGTAAGTCTTTCCACAGCTTTCCAGTGATTGAAATGTCTCCTTCTCGAAGCCTTATTATTATATGATTGCCCGTACCAATTCAATTGATATTTCTGGTCCACACTTGACAAACATACATGCTTTGGGGTTTGAGAAAAATTGTTCATTATTTAGATGAAGCATTGCTTTTCAAATTAAAACTTTTAGTTGATTATTGTGTATCAGACATGTTTCATTCACCAGGATAGCTCTCCTGGGCAGTACTTGGCTATCAATTCCTCATAGTATGGTGTTACAGCCTCCACATCTGGTATAGCATCAGACTTTGAGTACAGGTCAAATTTGCTACAAAATAATTTGACACCACAAATTAAGGTGGAAATATGTTTTTGATTGAAAACAAACATAAAGAACCCCTGTATCATAAGGAAATTAATCTTGCAAGTTGGAAATGTGTATTCTACTGAATCTAAGCATAATGAACCCTTATGCCATGAAGAATCTACTGCAAGTAAGACATACTTTTTGGGTTAATATATACAGAGAAAGAGAGAGTAAATTTTGAGCTTGGTTTTTGACTGAATACCAACATTATTATCTCATGGGTGGTTGTTGTATTTTCACCCTTCATAGAACATGTGCTTGTTGATTGATGCCTAATGGACAGCTTTTTCAAGGTGGCATAATGTAAAAAATGCTATCCTGTAAAGTGCACTCTATTTATCAGTATGCTGAATGAGGAGACAGCTCTTCTAATGTCCTTAGTTGTCATATGAATGTTGTGATTATGTTGAGCTAAATAATAAGTATCAGGAAAAAACAATGTAAATGGTTTACAAATGCTACCAATCACCATCAAACTGATTAATACTCACTTGAACTCTTTCACCCATTTCAACATTCCCATATCTTCCTTGTTACAAAGGTAATTATAATCTCCATTGCAATGCCAAGGATAGAATGAATGATACCTTATCATATACAGTCCCTGCAAAGAACATGTGCATAGTATCAAGCTGGAGCACATATTGCATTTGTCAAAAATTATCAAATCTTTAACTTAATTAGAGCACTGGTAAGTTAACTCATGATAAGTCACTGTGAATTAATGAGAGCCTTGTACAGGCCAGTCAGTTAATGTTACAGTTGTAAATGATTTCTCTCTGAATCACTAACTGACATAATTTTCATTGCCATGCTACCTTCAAAAAGAAAAAAAAACTTAAAATGAAAATGGATCTTCCCCTGGAAACATTTCACAAACCATCCATATTAATATCTTATAATAAGAACTCTAGTAATATCTAAGTATAAGTACCTGAAAATATAATTTTAAGAATAAAAAGTAATTTCCTTAATGTTGCCAGTAACCACTTATTATGTAACCTTCATTTACATGTTCATAACATAAACTATACTATCAATGGTAGCAGGCTGTTATGTTATCTGATTTATGTGCCACATGTTGGAGTCACATGAATTGGTCCATCGTCTTTGTCACAAGGTTGTCATAAACTTGCCCCAATCCTTTTACCTTCAAGATCTAGATTTAAAATTCTCTTTTCTGTCTGTCATTCGTTTCTTATAATTTTAGCCTGAGAACTTGTAGGGTGAAAACATTTCACCCCTGTGTGAGAGAGGATTAAGTTTGACATGTGGAAATCATTAAAAAATCATTATATTTCATCTTTGAGTTTCACAAGGAAGCAGTCTTAAAGTGTGCTGCCCCATTTTTTCCCTCTAACCTCTTTGGGAAGCTTGCAATTGTTTCCAGTTAAAACCTGATACATGTACTCTACAAAGGAAAAAAACAAGGTTAGGAGCTTTAACATTCTAATATTTAACTTCTACTAATAGGTAATCAACACTTGAATAGTCCATATTCTAGAAACAGGATCATTGTAAATGATGTTAGTTTTTAACTTCAACTCCTCTTAAGTTTTAAAATATATCATCAGTATACCTGAAAAGTTTGGATTTTGATATAACCTATACAAACACAACAGTGTTAAATGTCCCATTTCGTTGATTTATTTGTAGATATCACACATCTTGCCTTCAGTTTTCCTTTCAAATATGCTTTTTAATCATTTGACTTACTTCATCTTGAATAAAGATCACTTTAGGTCATGTTAATTGTTGTATTAAGTTATCTTATACAGGTTTTTGTCATTTATATCAAGAAGAGGTAGAAAACCTGGTCATTAATGTCTCCCTTGACCAACCTAAAATCATTATCAACAAATCTCCGAGCTAAAAAAATAAATCCATACCATCATGTCCCCAAGACATTGTGATGTTGTCCAGACCACAGTTTGGTTGATAAATACCATATTTTGAGCTGAAAAATATTCAACAAAAACATACCTGCAGTTAAATGAAGACTGGATAAGTGAAAAAAGAGACGACTTTTACACATGTACAAGTTAAAGAAAATATTACTGGGCAAGTTGTGTATTGTCTCATAAATGGGAGATAATTGTCACTACAATGCTAAATGTGCATCATATCATAGTTATCTTGCATACCTATACTCTGGAACTTTTGTGTCTGGATTGTTTGCGAATGTCTCAGGGAAGACTATGTTTTCTGAAAATTTGCAGCCAAGAGGGAAAGTATCTCCAACAACACAGTACTGAGGCTCTCCCCACAATGCCATAACTTTTCCCAAGTCATGAAGAAGACCAATCAAGTGAAACCAGTCTTTGTCTGGATGGGCAACACGAATGCGCTCTGCAGTTTGAAAGGCATGTACTGAATTGGGTAAGTCTGTGTCTGGGTCACTCTCATCCACCAAAGCATCTAACATGTGCACAGCATCCATGATGGTCATTTTAAACTTGTTCAGACAGCACCAATGCTCTTTCTAAACAGAACAAAATTAATATTCATCTATCACTCTCTCATTAGAACTCTTCTCATGCCTCTGTGGGCATATTTGATATCCAGAAAAGCAACAGACAAAATAACATCTTAATTATAAGACAGGAAGGAGTACCTTTGAATGCCAGCAACAATTGTTTCAAACTTTTTCAAAATACTGAGAGCCCCTATATTGCAATCTGATTGGTGCTAGCAAAATAATGTTAAAGTAATTCCTCAGTTTTGCACCCCACATCCTGTACTGTGCATAAAAATCACATTTCCAAGAACATGGTATTGTTTTTCAATCCATGGACCATGTTAAGAGGTACAATGGTCTGTAGCTCTTGAGGTGACCTACATTTTTTATTGCATAATTTTGGATAACAAATTATCCCATTTAAATGGGGGAAATTTAAAAAAAATTCTTCAAAGGGAAAAAAAGATAAAGCTAAAAGCATGCAGGAAGTCTGTTACTTAAGGATGCTAATTACAACCTTGAAAGGAACAAATCAAAGAACATTTTGAGTCAATGTAGTTTAAATTTGTGTGATTTTCTCACGAATTATATATCAAATTGTTCCATGTGCTGGAGACTTTTTACCTAATTATCAAGTTTTTGTGTTACATTAAAAAATCTTGCTTCTAGCTGCAGCAAAATGTACCCTGAACTGATGCATGACACGCATGATTGGCACAAGTACAGGCATAAATGGGTAAGTTTGGCCCATCATATCTCTTAAACAAGCATGGTGACCTATCTTTTTATTGCAATTTTTGAAACAGATATTGGTAAGGAACATTTAAGGAAAGCTTTTAAAATTGATCTATACCTTTTTTTCTGAGGAATCACCTAAAAGCAAAACCTGATTGGTGTTACCAACAAACCCTACGACATTTTTTTTCAAAGAACATAACAATTATTTGAAATAAAATAAATATAATTCAAGAATGAAAAAAGTTATCCATTAGGTTTGAATGGCAATTCAATAATGCTATCAAAGATAGGCAATCTAAGAAATGGGTGTTCATAGTTAAAGTAATTCAAGTTAATTCTTTTACAAGCAGCCTGTTCTTAAACTAACCTTTTCATTGACAAAAGTCATGGTTTGCTTTTCATGCATCATTCTGTATGTCATATGAACTTTGTCAGTTTGAAGGTTGACATTGTAATTGCGAAAATCTTCAACTGTCTTATCAGTTCTGGATATGATGAACTCGTTATATTCACTGTACTCCTCTTCTGGTCTATAGATCTGTGAAGGATCCAACAGTACTACCTACAGTGGGAAATTTAGAAATTAAATGTGTCCAATGGGACATAGTCAGGAAGTTAATTTACAAGGGGGAAGGTGTCATCCAAAATAGAGCATCTACATTTCAGATTTCCAGAGGTTGGCATCTCTGCCACAATTATAGCTCTCATAATCTTTAATTGTTGTGTGCTGGATACCTATCAGATAGTTTAGACCTGTGTAAATGGAAATAAGGTCTCCAAAGGACACAAAACGCAAACCTAATAAAAGTATTTTGTTAAATGCACAGAATTTTCTGATATATCTACAATAATAATTTGTGTCGGAAGGGATGTAATATATCTTTCTTGGGCAGTAATGGTTTGAACCCTCTTTTCAAATGTATTCTGTTGTCAGATCATTCAGAGATGATTACAAAACACAATCAACTTTTTCTTCAGAGTCTCTCAATCCTGCTGATGTTTCTCGCATAACTTTAGTTTATCAAACTTTTATTTCTAATCTGATACAATCAAGTTCACATGATGCCTTAAAAGTTGACCTTAACCACCACTCTCCTCTCGATGTTGATATGTTTCTTTTTTTTTTTGGTTAGTTGCTGAAATATCTTGTAACAAACAACGGCACACGGGAAGGAGTCAATGTTTCAACAATAGCGGCGATGACTGATTGTGATTCAAACCAGAAGTGAAGTCGGTTATATCTTGCCTGTTAGTTGTAAAGCTTAGTATGATTCTCGTCATCGACACTCTAACAATCAATTCTTGCCTGTTAGCTCAGTTGGTAGAGCGCTGCAATAGTATTGCAGAGGTCATGATTTCAAATCCCGTACAGGCCTGAATTTCTTTCAGGCCTTATTTAGTAGTGTTCATTACTGCGAAGATCGTTCGCATTTTCACGTCTGATAATCAAGTTTGATGGCTTAACTGTCTACTTTGTTGCGATACAGCAAACATATATTATTAAGTTAACATGGAGGTTACTTTCTGCTGACTGTTAAGAACCGATCACCCAAATTGATTGTCCATCACGTACATGGTGATAGATTGTAATATATTAAGTCACAAAGGGGCCTCGGACCTGACCAGCATGCCAACTCAAAACGAATTTAAACGATCGAGAAGCGGGAGTTAGAACCAAAAATCAGTCATTGTACAACTTGAACAGGCTGTTACTTACGGATTCAGCTGGTTTTGGACGCATATTCTTTGCTAGTTCACACTACAATACTACACCGGCAATCGATAGATTCCGAAATAGTGTATTATGACGGACTTCCTGTAATAAATTTTGACGATTTTTTTATTTTTTTTATTTTACGTAATTTACATTTGATTGGTTAAGGTGTCAATACCGGTGAAGCCGGTTCTGCGGTTTATTTTCGAAGCAACAGGAAATTAATTCCCCCTTAAATCACAGATTGTTGAAGCAATACACTGTCCTGGTCAGGAAGCTATTTCAAAGATCTGGTAATCTAGGAATGGTTATCAGACCGAGAGTCGCCTACGTACTTCACTCACGTTTACTTGGGTTGTAACGCAGTCCCGACCAAATTGCGTGACAATGCAAACCCGTTTTTCTTTCTGGTTTTCGCGCTGCATTGCATTTTCCCAAATAAGTAAATGCGTTGTGTGCCGCATGCCGAGACCAAACAACTGCTGCATGGGGAGACATCAGTAAGCATTTAATTTTTGCCTAGAAATGTTTAGATAATAGAGACAATAGAACAAAAAATACCTGTGTGAGTTTAGATAAATAAGGCTTTTTTCCTTACTCTTAAGGTGAAGTAATGCGATATTTTGATCCGTTTGAAAGTTATTCTCTTTTTCTGTCATAAAAATGAAACATAAGGTAAACAAAGTGTCCCATCTCAATCCGCCTAGCCGAAATAACACTTGCATGCTACACACGCCTATGTTTGTTCCTTACTCTAGGGTTATCGGAATCTATCTTCCACACAGCGACTACACTTTGTAATGGTTTCGCGCCAGTCTTCACATTATATGACGTCATGCCCCCAGCAGATCGCTGTTCCATTTGCGGTTTGTATTTTTGGTGGTTTCGGCGAGATGCCTTGGCGGCCGTCACCACCAAAAATACAAGGATGTCGTATAGATCAGCAAATACAAAGATGGCTTAAGGATCAGCTGCAGGATAGCATAGCTAATAAAGGAATGGCATAGCCTTCACGTCACGCCACGACGATTCGCCACAACATCGAAATATTTCAAGTAATACTAAGCAATTTAATGTTCAGATAGAGCGTCTGATGTTTTGCAAAGCTATTCGACCTAACGCTACACTATTTGTGTCTACGCTGTACCATTCTACATTACGCTGAGCCATTTCACGCAACGCTACACCATTTGTGTGTACGCTGTGCCATTCGACATTATGCTAGGCCACTTCACGCAACGCTACACTGTTTGTATGTACGCTGTACCATTCGACATTACGCTAAGCCATTTCACGCAACGCTACACTGTTTGTATGTACGCTGTACCATTCGACATTACGCTGAGCCATTTCACACAACGCTTCACTGTTTTTATGTACGCTGTACCATTCGACATTACGCTGAGCCATTTCCCGCAGCGCTACACCTTATGTGTGCCGCTGTACCATTCTAAATTACGCTGAGCCATTTGACGCAACGCTACACCGTTTTTGCATACGCTGTGCTACTCGACGTTACCCTGAGCCGTTTAACGCAACGCTACACCGTTTGAGTACTGTATTGCAAATGAGTGCTAAGCCATTCGTAATTAAGCTAGTCCATTTCACAATCTCGTGATCCAACTCAACATGGGCTACTAGACCGTTTCTCATTTGGCTAAACTATTCATGTTTAGGGTGTTCTGTTTCACGAAGGAAAACTAGACTGTCTATAATTTGGCCATGCCATTCCTTTATTAGCTATGCTATCCTGCAGCTGATCCTTGCACCATCTTTGTATTTGCTGATCTATTTGATATCCTTGTATTTTTGGTGGTGACGGCCGCCCATACTGTACCATTCGACGTTATGCTGAGCCATTTCCCGCAGCGCTACACCATATGTGTGTACGCTGTGCCATTTGACATAATGCTAGGCCACTTCACGCAACGCTACATTGTTTGTATGTACGCTGTGCCATTCGACATTACGCTGAGCCATTTCCCGCAGCGCTACACCATATGACGCTGTACCATTCTAAATTACGCTGAGCCATTTGACGCAACGCTTCACCGTTTGTGTGTACGCTGTGCTACTCGACGTTACCCTGAGCCGTTTAACGCAACGCTACACCGTTTGAGTACTGTATTTCAAATGAGTGCTAAGCTATTCGTAATTAAGCTAGTCCATTACACAATCTCATGTTCCAACTCAACATGGGCTACCAGACCGTTTCTCATTTGGCTAAACTATTCATGTTTAGGGTGTTCTGTTTCACGAAGGAAAACTAGACTGTCTATAATTTGGCCATGCCATTCCTTTATTAGCTATGCTATCCTGCAGCTGATCCTTACACCATCTTGTATTTTTGGTGGTGACGGCCGCCTATATAAGGGAGTATATAGTGTGGCTTTTTACGGGAGAGATGTTGTTATAGTGTAGTGTGGCATCAATAGAAGCCTTTGGTTGTTTCTGTTTTGAACGCAAATATTTTTGTTTTCTGTTTTTGTTTTTTTCTTTGTTTTTGTTTTCGTTATTTGAAAGAAAATCTGGAGGAATCTGAATTTTTACTATTTCCAAACTATATATTACTCCCAAATTAATATCCCACTTAGGTGCTCTCTTGCTTTCATTTCAGTCTGACAGGGCTAATTTCATTTTCCTTGTTTATTTATTCCGTGAACTGAGTTCCACTCAGTTCCATTATCACTGTTTCGTTTATCAATTAGGCGTTGCCTCTTATTAATAGATTTATTCCATGACAAGAATCGTGATTGACATTAATCTCATAAATGACTTAAGAGCGTTAGGTTATCATGTTTCAAATCAGTTTTCAGCATAATCGAAGTGAGAAAGAAGTTTATTTTGTTATTATTTTTCTGTCTCTAAATCCGCTAATCTGGAGAATCTGCTAACCTGTTAGTGAGACTATCGTAACGACCCGCCACAGAAGTAAGTTTACATTGAAGTTTTTTAATTTAGCTACGAGATAAAGACTTAATTTGCGTTTGTTCTGATTGTAAATTATAAATGTATTTCCTTGAGATCGAATAATTATCAAAGCTTGGCTTGATATTATGCGGTTTGTGGTGGTCATTTAACCTAACCTGACATTTAACCTTTAAGCTAACCCGTTCCGAGTAAGGAAACAATCGCAAGAATGCAAGCAAATGCACATAACATGAAGAAAGCTGCCTTTTTCTCTCTCCCTTGTCTATGTGGTCTTTGGATCCCCTTCCCTCCTCTTCACCTCAAAAACTTCCGGTGGAAGACAGGAAGCGATTATAGTCCCCTTAACCAGGTTCCACCGCTGCAAGTAATTTTCAATTATTCTCATGTGAAGAAGGGTCACATAAGTGAATTTAGCGCCTCTCTTGTCAAGTAATTGTGGGCTAGATAAGCAAACGCACGGAAAAATTGGACGATCAAAAATACAATTGGAGTCACGTGTTTCCGGTATGAAATCTGTTATAGCGCGGGCTCAGTTACACATAGGATTTGAATGCCAAACAGATTTTTTATTTGCAGTGATATTGTGGATGTGTTATCGACTTCGTGCACTTTTCTTTGGTCCAACATTGATTTTATTTGAAAAAAAAATATCGTATTTAATTTGAGGTTAGTTAATGAACATTTTCAACTCCAAACGAAGTACAATGCAACACAGAAGGACGGAAGGGTGTTTGTCGTCTTGGTAGCTAAGAGGCCATAACAAAGCCCGACCCATTGCTAGCTGATGGTAAGCAATGTCTCTTGAACACTTATCGACTGTCCTCTATTGATTTAACGAACCCGCAACATGATTCAATGAATAAGTATTTTTCTATCTTTCCGCCCTGCTTTCCTCACCAGTTTGGTAGTCCCATAAGATCTATCAGCGCACTAGTGTTTTCTGTGTTTTGGTAATGATATTACATTTCAAAAACATGACTTTAGATGTTTTGATCTTATGGCCTAAATCTTTTCAGCCGCCTTTTGTTGTTGGGTTAAGGGGTTTTTTAAAAGATAACGTACTCGATGTACAGTCTATTTAAGAAATCCCTGTTCCTTTAATGTTCTTTAAATGTTTGGCTTTTTCCGAAGCCAAGGTACAAGTGATCGATATAACCTGATCAAGTTTGGTACGTCAGAGATGTAAACTGCTCTTTTTATTTTGTCACCAACACAAATATTACAACACAAAATCTATCTTGCTTCACTTTTTGTTAGTATTAAAATCCCAGTCTATAACGTTTTCCTCAAAAAGGAAGCTGTGTAAAGGAAAATTCCAGCGCTACAAGACATTTCACCGCTGTTAAGAGAATACTTTGTCACTATCTAATGTGAGCTCTCTTACATAGGAAATGTGGCCAAAACTTAACACGCTGTCTGGTTCTCATACCAGTTAAAATATATAGAATTTATTAATTTAATTATTTTTTCACAAAAGTTTCCTTAGATTGAGAAGTAACGCTAACTGTGGAAAATATGATACTTTTAGCTATGAAAAAACTCCACTTACATTAAATCACTCGCACAAATAGAAGGTTTCCAAACTTTTTTTTTTATCTTCATCTTTGTGCATGATTTATATACTGTACCTCATCTATCACCTCTTTCTGTGTGAGCAGTTAAATTTTAATCCCTTTTTAGTTTTTTTTTATGTAAAAAAAATAAAATCTATGTTAGCATGTAGAGTGGTATGTTGTTTGCACTAATCAGATTTCTGCATTTGGGTATGTATCTTGCACTTATCAGATTGCCACACCAGGGTATGTATCTGGCACCAATCAGGATATGTTTCTCATACCAATTATATCACAGCTTTCTTGCCAATGATGTCATGGAATCAGGGGGCTGTGCACAAAGAAAGACATAAACCATAAATTTTGGCCTAATTTTGATAAGTGTAATGGTTTGTGACCTTTGCAAGAGTCTTATGGATTAAGGTCAAGATTTATAAGGATATAAAAGGTTCGCATCATTTTTATCATTCTTATAATAAGTTAAAACATGTTTTTGTGCTCCTTTACTCACAACTTACTTGCTAAAAAACTTACATTCCATCAAGTGCAGTAAAAACCTGTATAAAAGAGCACGTTTTGTGGGTTCAGGTTGATTTTGTTCTTATATACCAGGTTTTTTCTGCAAAATCAGCATGAAAATGTTCTTAAGGTGTTCTTAAAATTGTTTCTAAAAATTAAATACTGCATTGACTACCAACAGATGAAATCATTGAGCAAGCACAACATTTAAATTAATTAATCAATGGAACTAGCCTTAACAGCAGTAATCAAGGCACTAATATTACATAAGAGAAGGGGTTGTAGTTCTGGTGATAAACAACTTAAAACTCAGCAAAAGTCAAGCAAACTCAAAATGTGCCAGCTCCCCCTCCCCCTCGGTAGTGATGACTGACATCAATCACCACTACCAACAACAGTCCTTCTCAGGACTACACTCACCCGGATGATCAAACTAAACTACTACATAAACCTGCATTTAATCACCTACTCTAACCGCATTGTCCAACACCATTGGAAAAAATTAACATGGTACTAAATGCTACTGATAGTGAATTTTCCACACAATTCTTGCACATTTTGACTTTTTTTAATAATAAAATTGGCTTTTTGTTACCTTTGGCTTGATCCAATTGCATGTCAATTTCTTTTAAACAACCTGCATTTGATTGCATATTTCACACACAGAGGGCAAAGTCCAGATAGGCAACAACCAATCAAGGAGCCCTCTTTGAAATATTATCCTTTTCTCTTGTTCAGTGTATCTTCACTTATTTGAGATCACAATATATCTTTGGTTAGTATCTATTAGAGATACAACAGGGTGTCAGTTTGCTTTTCCTAATAAAATTAAGTGAATTTATATTTTTGAGGCAATCAACTGTAGACGATCAACTTAGATTTTCTTTCTGTTAAAGGAACAGCAGTAAGTGTTTGGTCTCATCATGCAATGCACTCTCTCTCCAACAGGGAATATGTTGCATTGTGTGACGAGACCAAACAATAGCTGCAAGGGGAACAACAGAAAGTGTGGCACCAATGCATATCATTTTTATTTAGAAGTATTTAGACAATAGAGACAATAGACCGTAAGATACCTGTGTGAGTTCAGATAAATTAGGTTTTTTTCCTTTCTCTTAAGATGAATTAATGCAATATTTTTGTCCATTTGAAAGTTATTCTCTTTTTCTGTTGCAAAAACATTTGGTACACAAAGTGCCCCATCTTAACCTGCCCAGCCAAAAAAATTACTCTTACATACTATGCATGCCAATGTTTTATATTAATTACCATACACCTATCCTGAAGTGTTGCAAATTCAAAATTTTGACCAGTTAGTGAAAGCATTTTCTCACTCTTTTGATGTTCTTGATGTTTTTGTTTCTCCAGAATGACTTCTCAAATAACTTTTAACTGGTTTTTTTTTCCTAATTTTCCAGGGAAGCTAATTTTCATACCATAGCTGGAAAACTTTAATGGCAGGCTGATTCAGTAAAAGCATTTGGTGGAAGTTTGAAATTGAAGACCTTAATTACCCCTGCCATGGAATTATCTTTTTGCAAACAAAATTATTTTAGGGTGAGTGTCTTTGTGTAATGATATAATAATTGTTTACCAGATTAAAGCAGGTTTCTTTTCTACAGAATATTTTTCAGGGAATGTACAAAGTATAAGTCTTTGATTTACCTTTAAATCTTTCACAATTGCTCTGAAGTGTTTGTAATATGTAGCTCTCTATAAGTTGTTAAATCAGTAATGCCCACCTAGTAGTTATTGTTAAATTTTCAATTTGGATTCTACAAACACTATAACTTTAAAAACTGACATTATTCTTTCCCTTTTTTACCTTTATTTATTGTTGTACAATACTTGTCTTTTTGTACTCAAGAGCTGATTTCTGTTTTTTCCTGTAATTTTGCAATTATGCTTTTTCACAGACAAGAAGTTTTGTAAATCTCTTTGGAGGCAGATAGTTTTTTCTCTTCCCTGTGGCATTATGGGAGCAGGTGATCTAGCTTTTCTTTTAGTCATAATAAAATCATTTTGAAGGGGTAGTTATTTAATTATTGATTAAATTATTTTTTGAGGTGGTGAAACCTGCCTCAGTCCTTCTTTAAAAGTGGTTCTTGAAGTTTTGGCGTTAGGGATATATTGATAAAAAAAATTTTGTGTAGAAGTGGTGTTTAAAGTTGCTTATAGATATAAGACCAAATGATTATAAAGATTCATCCAAAATAAATAAATAGCATTACTTGCTTCTATGAATCATCATATGGGATAAAATGACATTAGTTAAATCTTATTGTTAAAGGTGTTAAGGTGATCTGCCAATAAGGAGCTTATTTTCACAAAGTAGTGGTTAGTGTCCTGATTCCAATTTGTACAATGATTTAGTGGTTTGACATACTTTGTACAACTTTGTCTTTGTGGCCCTGAAAATTTAATTTTGGTTGAAAAAATGAGTGTAGCAATAGTTCTGTAAGAATAAGAAATTACTACACAAAAAAAATCTTCTCTGAAATGGGTAAGTTAAAGATGGAGTGAAGTTGTATATTAAGTAAAACTAATTGGTTATGTTAATGATTTAAATTTACTTCTAAGGTTTAGATAAAAGAAGAACAGACATTTAATATATTTTTTTTTAAATAAAAAGTTCCCCTTGGTTTGGACCATTTTATTGAGTGACTTGATTTTTCTTTTCTAACAGCATGTACTAGCCAACCATCGAAGGTTAATGTAACAGGAGAAGGCAAACTATCTCCTAACAACAGGTAAGTGGTGATTGTAGGCTACAGTGAGAGTATTATATTAGATTAATGTTAGGTAACGCTGTGTCCATTCCTTGCCTAGAGATGCTAAGTTTCTTCATTTACTCAAGGCTAGTTTTCTATGCTATTGGAATTTTTCAGTTGCCAAAGTCTAACCTTTTTTAATTGCCACAAAGGAAATGATCTTGAGACAGACTATAATCAACTTCATGGTAACTGTTTTTATGCTAACAACATCATCGATAAAGCTTGCTAATTTGTTTGTATTGTGTTGCTCCCTCAAATATGAAGCACGTCTCATAATCTTTGTATTTCTTTTTATTTCAAATGCCAAGAGAGAGTGATGTTTATTATCTAAAGCAAAAATTCCTAATTCTAGCCTATTTAATACTTTTCCTGAAGAATGTGTACTGCTAACTAATCAAGTGAAAGTAGTAATAATATTACTTCTTTGTTGAGAACTGCACTGCATAAATTGATATTAAAAATAATGACTTGTTTTTAACTGAATGGAGATATCATCAGAATATTATCTCTGTCTCTCTCCACCAATGTGCAATAAATCTGAATATTTTTGTTTGGTCTCCGTAAACCTTAGGTTTGTTTACAATTCTGATGTTCTGTAGTATCATTGTTCATGATGGACAAAAACATATTAAATAAAAATGTTTGAAGGATTCAAGAATCATTAAATAATGTACAAGTGAGTTAAGAAAAAAATAATCTTTTATTTAACATGCTTTTGCCAAATATTTAATTAACCAGAGTCAAAAATGTATTCCACACAAAGATGTACAGTTTTAGTGAGTTAACAGGGAAAATATTGCATTCAATATTTTCACTGAGCTGCAAAGGCAATAAAATGAAAGGCTCTTTAGCTTGAGACATGTTCATGCTGATCTGATTGAAGTCAGCATATGAGATAAAAGAAAAATTGGTATGAAATTTTAATGATTCACAATCATCTGTGAATATTTGAATATTTTTCATTGAGTTAGTGAGTGTGTTAGGAAATATCTGTCCTTTGCCTCCAAACTTTTGAAGGGTTTTTTGAAGGGTTCTCATGTTGGGAGATATTTAAACAGATTTCAAGATGGCCTGCTTTAAATATCATGTCTTTCAGCAGTTTTAGTTTAGAAGTCACAGTGTTAAACAGGTACCTTTTAATACTTTGAGTTCTGATGACCCAACTTGGATATTTTCTCTAAACACGTAATAATTTTCATCAAGATATATGTAAAATGGGAATGTTTTAGGTCAGTAACTATGAAAATTTTTATAGACACAAGGTTTGCTTTTTAGTGCATCCAGGCATGACACTAAGTACTTAAAACTAAACCTGCAAAAATTGTTATCACATGAATAGTATTGCATATTCTTTCATGGTACAAGTGATTTTTTCATTGTCATTTATTTATAAAACTTACTGGAAATTATTTCCACCTGAAATTTACTCCCAATCTATCAAAAGGTGTTTCTTGTGAATTTTACTTCAGAATCCATGTTTTGAAGGAGCACACACATACTGTACATACCTTTTCTATCACCTCAGATATTTAATTATTTTTAAATTACAAACAGCCCCTGTGCTGTTGCTATTGTATACACTGTGTCTAGCAGGAAAAGGTTTCTGACAGATTTTACAACTACAGCTAAATTATAATGTTCAGTGCTCTCTTTTCCATAGTTGAGTTTTAAAATATTTAAATCCCAAGTAGCTTGAGTTCTGTTTCTTTTTTTTGCGATGAACTACTGACTTTGAGTTAAACTGAGACAAAGGAATGCAATCAGACAAACAATGAACTTGTGGTTTACCCAACCTGTTATTAAGGGTTTCTTGATGTATTTTATGTCATTCTAAAGAACAACAATAGGTGAGCTTAATGTTTTATTGTGATGCTAATTATTCTTTTTTAACCAGATGGCAAAACTTAAACAATGAAAAAATAACTGTGAAGGGTTAAAACTGATGGAACTGTGTTTAATTTATTTGTTGATTACCTCCTGTTGGAGTGATCCCTACACATAGTCTTCCTGCTGTTTACTTGTACATGGTTGTTAAAAGAAACAAGAGAACATTTACCTCTGTTGTTTTGAAAAGCACATCTTTGTCACTCAATCTTATGTATTCTCACCTGACCTGGGGACATGAATTGGTTTAAAAAACAATTTTTCCTGCTGTTTACTTGTACTCTTTGTCACTCAATCTTATGTATTCTCACCTGACCTGGGGACATGAATTGGTTTAAAAAACAATTCAGGTAACTTGTTAACATTATAATGTGTAGGGTTTAATCTGTCAGAGACATTTTCTGTAGGAAATGTTCTGTGTATAACACTTTGGAACAAGGCTTTATACATCAACTTTGTCAATGCAGGATCTTAAGATACTAACAATGACATTGCTTTTACACCCATATACACTATTATGCAAGGTAGCTCTTTATAGAAGCTGCCAAAACCTTCTGCAAGAAGATTGATGAACTTCCTTACTCTCTTGAGCTATATTTTTGTTGACTGGATATAACTATGTTTCTCCTTACAAATAGTGTCTAACTTTTGTGAATTCAAAGTTAAGTCAATGAGTCTGACACACCTCACTGATAATTTAATTTGTAAGCAAGTTGAAAGGCTGTTGTCAATAATATAATATGACATGAGCCAAAAACATGGAAAAGCTTTGGGAATACTATTTATTATCTGTCTGATCACTGAAGCCCAACACGTGTTGAACAGGTTATACACCTGGGTAATTGTATAAACTCTTCATGTTTTGAGCTTTTCTTTCCTTGATGTCATTAAAACTAGAGACTTGTCAACTCTAAACATGATGTTTCAAGGGAACATTATGTTTATGTTATATTACATTATGTTTAAAGGAAAAATATAGCTGCAGACTTTAAAATCTCTTAAACCACACAGTATCTGTTACCTTAACTGATACTGTTTACTCAAAGATTTTCAAAGTTCTAGGTAGGATTGTAGTGAATCACATAGAACACTTTACACACTTACACACTTTATTTTTCTTTTTTTTTACAAAATAATTTAGATTATGTTGACCCGCAGATAGCAAATTTGCTATTCGAGGCGGGTCAATCGTCAACAAACATTTACAATATATAAAGAAAATTAAAAACTAAATAGTTAGATATTGTTAAATTATAAAGAGAAGCATAACTGGTAAATACATCAATAGTTGTTCAATAAAGTATAGAAGCAGATAAATTAGTACTGAAAGCAATCGGATCAATTTGTTTTAATTATGCAGTCCTTAAGTTTAGAGGAGATCTTTTCAACATCAAGATAAGAATCTTCATTATCTAGTATCTGAAATAAAGACGTTTTTATTTGTTTATTAAAGGAATGTTTTGATAACGTTTTGAATTCTTTTGGTATCTTATTCCAAATTTTGACACCAACACGCGAGAAAGCCTTTTTTTGTAGGTTAAGTCTAGAGTACTTTGTACTAAAGAGCTGCGATTTGGATGATCGAGTATTGTAGGTATGAATATGAGATGTTTTAGTAAATAGTTTCAAAATATTAATGGGAGCCCTCTGGTTGTGCACATCAAACATAAGTTTACTTACGGCTTCATAATATAGGAACGTAACAGGCAGAATTTTTGCTTTGGCAAATAAAGGGATGGCATGCTCTCTTCGATCGGTGAAATAGATTAGGCGCAAAACTCACTTTTGAAGAACTAAAATCTTGTTTAAATAAGCATTTGACGCATTGCCCCAGGCAAGGAGTCCATAAGTTATATAAGGTAGAATTAATGAATTGTAAATATTTACAAGGACAGTAGAGGGAACGAAGTACCTCAGCTTTGCAATCATCCCTATTGTTTTACTTATTTTTACGATAACAGAATCAACATGGTTTTTCCATGACAAATTTTGATCAATTAAAACACCTAGATATTTGATATAACTTTTTTGCTCTAAACTAACTCTTCGGTTTGTCTCACAATCTAAAATACCTATTTGTGGAGAAAAATGCATTTTTTTCTGATGAGGACGAAAAATTAAGAAATTTGATTTTTTTGTATTCAATGTCAACCTATTTGTAGTTAACCAGTCATGTATGTTATTCAACTCTACATTAACCGTTTGCTCGATCGCCTTATGATTCTTATCAGCATAAAGTATATTAGTATCATCCGCAAAGAGATAAAATTTTAGTTTATCAGAACAAAGGTGAATGTCATTTATGTAAAGTAAAAATAGAAGAGGTCCAAGGACTGATCCCTGGGGGACACCACAGGGAGAGATAAGTTTTGTTGATAAGTGCTCTCCAATCTGAATTGTTTGTGTTCTATTTTTTAAATATGATTGAAACCAGTCATTTATCAATCCACGGAAACCGTAAAAGTTCAATTTATCGAGTAATATTTCATGATTGACCGTATCAAATAGAAAAATCACCTCTGACAGAAAACAGCATTTATAATTTAATTTGAATTAAATTTGTGTAAGGCCTGAATTAGGTAATGAAAAACAGATAGAATATCTTCCATACAGATACCTCAATATTCTTATATACAATGAAAATGTTTTGTAATTTACCTGAAATTCTTTCAGCAAATGATACTTAACCAATGCTAGTTTTAAAGTAATTTATATTTATGCACAGGAAGTGAATTTAATCTCATACACTTAATTCCAGGTCTGTCACCCACTCAGCTGGAGGAACAAGCAATGGCATAAGGAATGCTGGATCAACTTTTAATAGACACAACAAAGTAGCTGCCTCAAATAGTATAACTGATGGAAGACAACACAGTAAGGAAAAGGTTTTAGTAAAGAAAGGTTCAGGTGTACTGAATGCAACTCCCAAAACAAAAGTCAGTGTTGTTGATGAAAACAGATCAGATGTGGGAGAATCCCAACCAACTTTAGGTGGAAGACTTGAGGCAAGTTTTGCATCTTTAAGGCGGAGTTCAGCCACTCCTGATTTGCTCAACAGCAGCAGTGTATTTGATCTGTCAGAGGTACCCCACATCTCGTCTAAACCAAGCAGTGCAGGCTCAGTATCATCCTCTCCTCGTCTCAAGAGACCTCCTACCAAGGAATCCCGCAGTGTCTCCATCTGTGAAACAGAGGTATATAATTATTATTTCACATATTATAATCCATAAAATATTTTTTTCTTGCACATGGTTGGTGAAAAACTCTTCATTTTTTAGAACAGGCAGTCTCTGCGGACAAATATCTGTGCATATCATCATGCCAAATGGAGACACATATCTGTGCATATCTTCATGCCAAATGGAGACAGATATCTGTGCATATCTTCCTGTCAAATGGAGACAAATATTCTACCCATGCTGCACTTCAACTTCCCAAGTCCCCACTGCTCCTGTGCCACAGAAATATTTCATTTACAGCCAATTCATATCCACTCAAACGCTGGAAATTCCATTACTTTGATAATGGTGCTGTTACTGTAGTAATTGAGCAAGACTGTCCAGTGGATCCTAAATGCCCCCTTAATGTAATACTCTAATAGAGGTTTACTTGATGTTTACTTATTTCAAATCTTTTACCAGAACTTTCTTCAACTCAATCAGTATAGACTTATGGATGAAATTGGGAAGGTGAGATAAAGTATCAGTCAATACTAGTCACTACAAATGGTATTTTTCCATGAAAAATATTGTTCTTATTGGTGAAATTGTGAGTCAAAGAATTCTACACTTTTCTGAAAGATTCATTTTGAAATTATTGAATTACAGAGTTGAAATTAGGAATTTGTTTTAAGTTGATTGTTAAACCAGAGCTGTCTTCAAAGTTAATAATGGTTTTATATAATTAAATTCTGAAATTGTGTTTAGTTTTGCCAATTTATTCTAAACTTTGGAGTTAAATTCACTTTTTATCTTTCAATACACATGATAGTTCAAAACCAGTTATCAGTTTTAAGTACAACATCATCATACCTGTTTGTGCCCAATTTAAATGTCCCCATTCCTTTTCTATTTCAAGGGCTCATATGGAGTTGTTAGACTCTGTTACTCTGATTTTGATCAGACAAACTATGTAAGTATGATAAGATGTAGTAACTTGTTTTCAATTCCTTTTCTCACCTCTACACCTGATTATTAGATGCCAAAGGGCTTGCACTGGTTATGAAAATTTAAAGCTGTTGTCCAAATGGACCATCTTCTCCCTTTTCAATGTGAGCCCTGTATAATTCCATTTCTATGAAGACTTCTCACTATTTGTAGAATACACATTGCAAACTCAACCAAGTCTAAGTCTACAATTTTGTTGACAGGCAATGAAGATCATTTCAAAGAAAAGGGTGATGAGAAAGGCTGGCTTACGTAAGTTTAGGATGACCTGATGACTTTTTATTAAACACTGTTACAGTCATATTCCACTACTTTTAACTTCCCAAGAACTAGCAAAGAACTTCAAGTAAAGTTGTTGTTCAGGAGTCAAAAATTTAGAGCCATTTTCTTTTGGATAACAAATACATGTAGTCCTTTTTGTCAGTGATGAGATTGTCATTATTAGTTTAAAATTTGTTTGTTACATTTATTTGTTTCTATTTGCAATTTGGTATTTTTGATGGAAAAATTTGTTTTGTTAACTTAATTACAACCTCTTGTTTTTGCTGTTTTCTCTCCTAGGACGTCCTAGTGATAAAGGAAAGAACACAGGATTGGAAAACTTGCAAAGAGAAATTGCAATTCTAAAAAAAGTTGATCATCCCAATGTTGTGAGCCTCAATGAGGTATAGTTATTTCATACTGTAGATTCTCTTTTCATTAATGAACCTCAGTAGTTGTTCTATTAAACCTTTAAGTACCCAAATATAATACACATATCTTTTAATTAAGAAATATCAATATACATCTTTAAACCACTCCTCACCTGAAAATAAGCGGAAAAATTGGGATTAGAAGTCAAAGAAACAGGAGTGTGAGTTAAGAGTGTCTTGGAGAAGACCTTGCAAAGCAGTAAGTCTACTGTGGCAGTAGAGTACCGTTTTCTTTCTGCATGAAACCTCCCATTGTTACATAACAGTTGAAGACTCAATGAACTAAAAGACATCAGCATTTACCAAGTCTTGGTTTTACCTGCTTTAGGTTTTGGATGATCCTACTGAGGATAATCTCTATCTGGGTAGGTACCTTTAATTTTGAGTGTTTTTGTTTTCCCTTTTTTCTTAAAAAAAAAAAAATTCTGGACATGGTATGTTTTTAGCACTACGCATAATATACTTTCTTTTTTTGTTTCGCAGTGTTTGAGCTCATGGATGGAGGGTAAGTGAGGGTTACACCTCTGATATAATCTCTCCATAGGACTTAAGTGTACAAATTATGAACCTACTTCTTTCTCACTCTAGTACCTTATACTCAGTATCTGTTTTCTTGCAAAGTGATGTAATGATGTCTAAACCATGGAAACAATAGCATTCAAGAAATACCATGCAAGGAATTAAAATCCCTGACCTTAATACATCCATGTTGAGGTTTTTCTTTTTCTTGTCTTGAGCCTGAAAATATGTTCTTAAGTATTGTTATGATCACATTTGCAAGGCAAACTACATGGTAAAATTTGTGAAACACCAACAGAGCTTTGATATTTTGTTTATACTGCATAGTTAGCATTCCTAGAGGTAACTGGGTTTTTGCCCATCAGGTGTAGGCAATAGTGCACTAGTGTAATGTAGAAGTCTCACAAGACAAATCCCTTGGTTGTAAATTTTTGTGTGATAAAGAGTTTCTAATTGGCTGGTCTATAAAAAAATCTGTGACTTAACAAGTAAACTCACATTCTTTATTTTTTATTCTTATATTTTATCAAAACAGAGAGGTGATGGAGGTCCCTGGGCCAGCCTTGTCAGAACAAAATGCTAGGAAATATTTTGTTGATGTTGTGCTAGGAATTGAATACTGTAAGTTGTATCAGTGTTGATCATTTCTGAAATGACATCTTATTTATAATCACTGAAACAATTCTCACAAATATTCAGTATCGAGTTATCTGCTGTTTTGTTCATAGTACATTATCAAAAGATCGTCCATCGAGATATAAAGCCATCAAATCTGTTATTGGGAGAAGATGGCCATATTAAGGTAAAACGTTTAGTAATGTGGTCAGTTTATCTGTGCTATGTTTGTGAAGTCACAAGGAACTTAGTTTACCGGCCAAATTACAGGCTAAATCACAAGCTTATTAACGACTGTGTGTGCTGTTAGCCACCTTCCAAATTATTCCTGTAGTCTGTACACCAACTTTTGGTGGATCAATGAATCAGGTAAAAATTTTATGCTTTTCATACACAAGCAGAAATAGACTTCTTCGAAATTTGGTATAGGTAACAAGGATTGCATTCATCTCATTTTTTTGTTTTTGTTTTGTCTTTTTTGTCTTTTTTATCTTTTTTTTTGGGGGGGGGGTGGGGTGAAAAGGATTCTACATCTGTTTTGGCTGTAAGCTCATTTAACAGCAGGCTTACATATTATCCCAGATTGCAGATTTTGGAGTGGCTGATGTCTTTGAAGGTGATGATGCTTTGTTAAATAAAACTGCAGGCTCTCCAGCTTTTATGGCTCCAGAAACTTTACAAAGTAAGCCCAAATTTCTTGTCCTTAAATCTTGTTAATAGGGCGTTCTTTGAATTGTTTTTTGTTTTGGTGGGAGTGCAAAACTTTTAGTTCAAGCTTAGCTTGAAAAAAAAAGGAATAGTCTCCTAATAACAGGTGAGTTGACCTGAAGTTGGTCCAAATATTCTTGTGAATAGAAAACCTGAAGTCATATGACATTTGTTTGAGTTAAGGCTGCATAGGTTGTTATATTGGAGTACATTTTTTAACTTTTTATCCACACGGGAGAGTAACACCTTGAAACAGGTGAACTTTAAATCATTCTGACAAGCTTTGGTTTGTAAATTTATTGCCGGTTTCACCATAGTGGTCGTAATAAACATTGAGCTGAGTCAGCAGCAAATAGACCATCGAATAATTAAGTTTCATTTTGAAACTTTTTGGATATAATAGTAATTACAATTCAATCGTACAGAGTAGTCTAATCAAGCACATAATGGTGTTAACTGGACATCTTGGCTGTTCCTGCTTTAAATTTTTAATAAAGTTTCAGTAATTTAAGAGTTTGGTTGGCTGATTTTTTTTGGTCTTTAGACTCACGGGACAAATACAGTGGAAAAGCGGCCGACATATGGGCACTTGGAATCACTCTTTACTGCTTTGTCTTTGGCAAGGTAAATGAGTTGTAGCTTAAAATGTTTTCCTGTCACCTATCAGATCATCAGAGAGTAGAAATGTTCATTCAGATGAAGTTGAACTCCGCCGGTTTCTTGCGATCCTCGCCAGTCGTACAGAAAGGTTCCACTGACAGTCGAACAGAAACTTTAAAGAATTCATTTTTTACTCGGGTTTATCGCGCATGGAACGAACTACCCCCTCAACATTAGGGAGTCTAACAACTTGCCAGTCTTACGCAAGAAATTGTTGAATTATTTTTATGATAAATTCAGTGCCAATTTTTTTATTGTAATTATCTTATTTCTATTGTGAGTATAGTATATATTTTTTTCTTTTGTAATTAGTCTTTGACACTGATCTTTTTAACCTAGTAAATAATTAAGGAAGCTTATTTTAAGGAATCTGTATTCTGCTGTCCTCAAATTGATTGAATTGACTTGTTCATTGTAATTAATTTTGAATTTGTATTAAACAAGAGCGGAGAGCCATGAGCAGCAGAGTCAAAATATAAAGAAACTCAATTGTATTTAGTATTTAAAGGAGAGAACAAAAGAAGTGAGAGTATCATAACTTGGTCCTTCAGGTTCCATTTGACGACCAAAATAGGATGGGACTGTACGAGAAGATAAAGACTGAACAGTAAGTTACCCAGTGGAATTAATTTAAAAACACCTCCTACAGTGGATACGTCATTGCGATCAATATCATATTTGATAAAATGTTCTTTGCTTAAATCCCGGAAATGGCAGTTAATGACTGTAAATTTTTTTTACATTATTTACTTGATTACACGTTGTTCTCAAGTAAATGCCGTAAACGCAACTTAAATTGCCGTTAAACGCCGCTCAAGAATGAGTACCGAACAACCGGCAAAACTTTTCTGCTATTTATTCCGACACTGTTTGTTTGCCCACAATTCGTCATATGTGTTGGAATATTTTCTGAAATAATCTCTCTTCTCCTTTCTTTTACATATGTTTCTGCTTTCAGGCTGACCTTTCCTGAGGAGTAAGTACCGTTAAACTTTTTTTCCTATTATTGTGGTCAAAATTTTCAGTTTTCACACAAATCAGCTATCGCATCTTATGACTGCCTATCGCAAACTCATACCCATAGGTTGAGAATGCCCAGTCTTTCAAGTCCTTAGTTCTGAAGAAATGCTTGTTCTCCCTTTCCACATTTGTAAACCTATTTCCCGCGTTCAGCTTTTAATTTGCAGCATCATCCGATACTTATTACAGAAAATCACTGTCTCAAACTTAGAATTCAATTGTATAACTAAAGGGATAGTGGAATTAAGTTTAAACTCTAAACATTCATCCTTCTTTACACTTTGTAGACCTGTATTAAATCCCCAGTTAGAGGATCTTATTTTGAGAATGCTGACGAAAGATCCCAGTGAAAGAATTACCATACAACAGATCAAGGTATGTCAAAAAAAGTTTGACGAAACCGGTGCAGAAGTTGTGATCGAGAGAGTTGTAATGCAACACGCCCAAGTCTGAAGCGATAGTATACATTTTTTGTTCAAATTTATCTTGTTCTCGTGTCGACCGTTGAATTTTGGAGTTCGCCTTGTGTTCTCAATTAACGATTGATTTTGCTAAGTCAGCAAAAGCTAATCTAAGTTCCTGATGTCAAAGTCGATGAATTACGTAGCTCTTGTTTGGTATACATTTTCCTGTTTCGTTGTTTTACTGTATGAGAAAAAAACCAACAAAAAAAAAAAAAAAAGTACACTAAGTGCCATCTTAAGCTTTAGTAGCCATGCCATCCTTGTGTTTGACCACTGTCACGCTTGTTTGGTCGGCGTAGATTAATAATCTATTTATTGTTATCTACAAACAGGAGCATCCGTGGGTTACTTACGGCGGTAAACATCCTCTCCCTACCACTGAAGAAAACTGTACTGTTATTGAAGTCACTGATGATGATATTCAGAACAGTGTAAAGTCTATTCCAAAAATTAAGACCCTGGTAAGTATAAGATTCCTATTGAACCACTTTAAGCTTCGTTTGTATTCGTTTTTAAGAAAATGCCCCTCCCCCCCTTCCGGATCACCATAAATGGAGATTTGTGGTGGATAGTCCAGCGGTTAGCGTGCTGGGCATGAGATCTGCACCTCAGCTTGAGACGTCATCGATTTTTTTAGTTTAAACTCTTCGTGCTTTGGAAATTCGAACTGCAACAGTTATCCTTTTGAATAAGAAAAAACCCTCGATGAAGATTTGTCAAACCTGGTTGACAAATTCTTCACGCTTAAGCTAGAAATGAGTCAGAATTTAGAGACAAACCCGTCATTTTAGTCTGAAGTCTACATTCGTTTAGGTGGCTAATCGAATTCAAAATGTAGGCTCGAAGAGCGAGTTATATATCAGTCTGATGATGCCTGGCTTTTCTAGGCAAAAGGTGCTTTCTTGGCACATAAAGGCCAGCTATTAATAATTCATTGACAGGAAATTGTATATGCGACAGCCATGACTAATTTACAAGTTTCTCTTCTTCGTTTAAACACATTTCATTGTGTTTTTATCTCCTTCTCAGATACTTGTGAAGAGTATGTTGAAATATCACACATTTGGGAGCCAAGCAAAAATAGAGCGAATACGATCACACTCACAACCAAACATCGCACGAAATGTAGAAGACAGGGAAATTACAAAAATATGATCCTTATTTCAAACTGGATTGTTCTAACGTCTGATAACCCTAAAAACATTACCCTCCGAGTGGGTATTAGGAAGGACGGTGAGCATGCAGGCTACAATATTCATTTTGATGAACTATGCTTCTTTTTGTCTTGCCATTTATACGATATTAAGGCTTATAGATTCACCAGCTTTGTTTTTTGTATAGAACTTAGTAAAGAACCCGTTACCAGCCAAGAGAGAAAACTGTTAAGTGTATATAAACATGAGAACGATGCTAATGATATGGTTGAATGAGAGAGAAATTATTCTTTGCACAAAAACAACCTTAAGCACAGAAAACTTACTGAGACTGTTTAGGAGAACCGAAGAGGGTCCAATTTTGAAAGCACATTTTATCTGAATCCCACGTCAATGTTTTTCGGCACTGAAAACGAAAGCATTTATTAGGATCACAACATCTTTTTCGTTACCTTCAACTCACTTTGCGACGGAAAATACAGATAATCCTAAAAATACAAAAACAGTTACAGATTTAATTAGAGTAGTTAGGATAATTTATCAATGGAACGAAGTTGTATTTATTGATTCTGTTAACGGGGCTGAAACACAAAGCCAGAAAGAGTTTTAAAGGTGATGCAAAATATGTATAGATATAGTTTGAATAAATGTAGCTAAGATTTATTATAAATTATAGATTCATACACAACCACCATGTACACAAATGTAAGTCGGAAGTTGACAGCCCTCTGTTTTGTTACATTTTCCGCGGGGCAGAGTGTGGTGGCTGCGATTTTTTTCCCTTTATCTAAATCTCAGGCTTCTCCCATCATGCGTGTAGTTTTTGTGTGCCTTTGCCTTTCATAAGCTTGATACCAGAAAGGGAGGCTGTGGAAAGTCTAAAAAAGGTTTTATACTGGATATATATCTCAAAGTAAAGAGAATTGAATGCACATATAATTTTACTGTTAAGTAATGACGTGTTTACAGCGTATACATGGTGGACTGGTTCGTTACTTTGTGCGTGTCTCAGTTCTGGAAAAGGAAACTAACAGGTAACCAGACCACTGAAATCTACATTATTTTTCTCAGTACTTGAGAACTATATCACTGCAATATTTATTTGATTCAACTGGCCTGTTCATAGCTTCTTCACATGAATATCTATTTTTAACATTATTTTCGTCGATTTCTAAATATTCAGAAATGGTTTTGCGAATCAAAGTATAGGTTCAGTTTTTATCTTGTTAATGGTATGAAAAAATAAATATTGTTTATGGCTCTGGATGTTTTGTTGTCTAGCGAAGCTTACTCAGCATTTTTTATCAGCGGTACGACAAATTTCGGTTGAAATCGTGATTTTAATGATTTGGTTATTCTCGTAGTGCTCCTCGCAGTCTTTGGTTTCGCTAATAACTCTCGGGAACCGCAGTTCGAGATAAAATTAAAACACGGCTTATGTAATTGAACTAACAAATCCGCATCGCGTTTATCTTTGGCCATCAAAACTTGTAAATGCCTTTACCTATTAACAAGTGTTTCCTCATTGAGCAAACACGCGTATATTGTTGTAGCTTGATGCTTTTTGGGTGAGTAAACAATTGTCGGATTTATTATAACGTCAGTTTATTTGCAAGCTAGGATTTCTCCAGGATCCCTTCTATATTCCAAATGCCTTTCTTCCTTCTTTTAGGTTTTTCTTTTGATTTTTCGTGCGCAGTGCAGATACCAGTCTTCTGGAACATTTCAAACTCATAGGAGTTCACTGTCCACTCTGCTTCATCAGGGTCAGAGGCAATCTCGTCCATGGTTCTCTCAACATACGTAGCGTGTCCATTGGCATCAACTAACATCACTGTGTTGGTTCTGATAACAAGTAGACAACAATGAAGATTGAATAAAGGGGTCAGTTTCTAAAGAAACTGTGGTGCTGCGTCGGTGGGAGAGTAAAGCAGGTAATTTAGTGTTAACAACTGAGTTGAAAACGTAAATTAGCCATCGTAAAGGTTAAAAAAGCTGACATTTCGAGCGTTAGCCCTTCGTCAGAGCGATGGGGAAGGGCTAACGCTCGAAACGTCAGCTTTTTTACCCTTTACGGTGGCTAATTTATGTTTTCAACTTAGTTGTTAACACTAAATTACCTGCAACAATGAAGATTGCATACGCTGCGGATATAATATTAGCAGTTTCCGTGAACCATATGGAACCAGGAGCTAATGTTTTCCCTAGTTTCTAGGACTGTGGCGTGGTCAGTCAAATAGGACGGCTATTCGCTGAGGTTAGTTAACAGGGATGGATCGACTGTGAGAGACTACGAGAGAGCGTCCTGGAACTAGGCTAGTTTCAGTTTGGCTCATATTTGAGCATGTTTGAACATAAAAACAAATATAACTAGGACAGAAAATTTATATTCGTAAATCTTAGTATTTTCAATTATGGAAACCCTAGCTTTGAGAGGCAAGGAACATGATAATAACTGCGATTCCTAAATATAATTTTCCTATTTTTCAATCAACTCTTACCAAAATTGACGCAGTTCCTACCTTGTTCCAAAATTCATAACTTGATGCCTGACAAAAACTGCCCGTGACGCTTCAATAAGAGCTTCATCGAACCCTTCATCTTGAGCCGCAATGAAGTTGTTGTGATCACCGCAACTTGCACTAAAAGATCTGAACACCGCAACACAACAGGAAAGCTAATGAGTACAAGCGCTGATCTAGTATGTGGCTTGATCAAAGAATGAGGCGACAAGACGAAAAACATCTTTCTCTATTTCATTACCAAGCTGAAAACTTACCATCTCTCTTATTCTATTTAAAAACATGACGCTATCGACATTGCTGATCCTAGAAGTATGCACGATGCGTGTGATATGAACTTCGTAATAGACCTCGCTCATCGTAGAGTCTCTGTGGCTCAGCGGTTGAGTATCGGAGCGCGGAATCCGAAGGTCTGAGTTTTGATTCCTCAGGGGGGCCTCAGAATTTTTTTCTTTGTCCCACGTTCGCGACAAGACGAAAAACATCTTTCTCTATGTCTTAACCGAGCTCAAAACTAACCATCTCTCCTATTCTATTTAATGACTATTATTAATTTCCAACACTTTATTGGAGTCGACCAGTTTACGGCTTTCACAAGCTACGGAGAACAAAAACTGCACTTACCTCTGTCGGGCCTTCAGCAGCCAGAGCAGCTCGTCAACAAGATCTTCTTTAGTTGAAGTTTCTTCTATTATTCTGGCGAATCTTTTTTTCCCATAACCCATCTTGGGCCAAGAACAGTTCAACGTTTTGTTCGATAAAACGTGAATCCCAGGTTTCAACATTGTGACTTGTTTATCTTCAATGTTACAGTACCATCCCACCTTGGTCTCACCATTTGGTGACAATTCACCCACCAAAAGATTGAATCCATTGTAGAGGTCTCCTTCGTTACTTACTTTCTTGAGGTGATTCTCAACGTCATCGTCACCCTTCAGAAAGTCTGAAACAAGATGGCCTCTCCCTTTTGCTTTAGAGGTAGTGAACTTTTTCGACTGTCTGTAAAACGTAGTAGCAGCAAATTTGCCATCACTTTTCATCCCAATCCACGTTCCACCTTCTCTTCCTGACTTCATGTCCATTCCTGCGCACAAAACAAGTCGGATTCTGTTAAACTAGTTTTGCCATTTAAATGAGCTGGAAATGTCCTTCGTTATGAAGCAAATAAGGACGAGTTGTAGTTGTTTTCAATGTTTTAGTTCTTATGGGTCTGGGATTCTTAAAAGGCCCGCCTTAACTGAAAACCCCCAACCCATTTGAGGCTAGGAAATCCTACAAGACCAAGAAGTGAATCAGAATCTCTTTTCGTCGCTGGCCTGACAGGCTCGGCGCACTTGCGAGCGTACAGAGACCAGTTGATGACGGTTTCTCTATTTAGTAAAAGTCTCTTACATGTAAAAAGGGAAACGCTGTTTAATTAAAACAGATTACCTGCAATGATATCAGGATATTCGTCCCAAAACTTTGCTTGGGCTGTAGGTCTGGAATAAACCTCATCTCTGTTTGATGCAACAATCAGACGGTATCCATCAGGGCTTGGGTCGTCACAAAAGTACATGAAGACAATGCACATTGTCGGTTGATTTAAATCTATGAATAGTAGAAATTAAACAATGTTGGATTCAGGCTGCTTCAAACAATATGAAAAGGAGAGCATACTAATATGAGAGGGTAATTAAGCTAGTACTTCACTGCAAGATCCACCCTACGTAATCTTGTAACATAACAAAACAACTCAAGTATTGCAATGGGAACTGCATGCAATGGTATAGATGGCCGAAAGTGTTCTTTATACATATGCAGGGTTTGAGCTAGTATTTGATCACTGGGGGACAATTTGTCCCCTTAGCAAAAATTTTGGAGGACATTTTAATTTTTAGGGGGACAGACATATTAATTTTTATTCGACATTTTCTTTTTTTACATTCATACAGGCAAGCCGACAAAAACATTTTTTTTACCTGATCCTTGTAAGACTTGTAATACAAGAAGAGTGATAAAAAAAAGAAAAAATGTTATTGATGTCAAATTTCTTCTTCTCGTCATATTTAAACAGAGGATCAATGACTATGCTTTATACTTCAAAACATTACACAGCAGAATCTCGTCCCGGCATCGCCTTGTAAACTTCAATTCCTTTCTTAATCACTGGTAAACGTAAATGTACTAATTCTTCAGTTGGTTCTAGCTCAAACATCAAGGGCTGTAGAAAAGAGTTGCTGCAGAGTTGAGGTTCTAAAATTTGTACACCCTTCTGCCGTTGCAAAGGGGTTTGTATTCTTAGATTTCCGACAAAAATAGCAGAACATCGCCTCTTTTTCATAGCACAACCATGTGTGATCTCGCAACGAAGTTTTCAGGAAAGTTCGTTATTTTTTCGGTTTCCTTCGATCCTCATTCGTTTCTTCCTGATTAATACACTGTTCTTCTTCTGTATCATTTTTCTCTGATTCACTCTGGCTTCGATTCCGAGCGAAAAAGCTTTCTAATGTTCGAACACGTTTTCGATGTGACATGTTACTGCGCTTTTCACAAACATGCGAATTTTGAAGTTCAAAAGCCAACTGACGATTGCGTTTTTCGCTGCCGTCAATCATCTTAACGGAACTCTTAGGAAACAAAACTTTACTTTCACGGGTTCAAAAGGTCATGGTTTGTGATTTGTGATTGGTGGATTTCAATCCGTTTCGTGTGTTTCTGTGTTTCAAGGTTCGTTGCTTGTGATCGTAATTATGATTGAGGGCAGCGAAAAACGTAATTGTGAAGGCGGCTTTTGAACTTTTGAGTTCGCATGTTTGTGAAAAGCGTAGTAAAGATTGCTACGTGCGTTCACCACGCTTGGTTGAGCATGAGACGTACGTGTTCAGTAAAGTGTGACTGAAACGTGACTTTAGAATGAACTTTAAACGTGCAAGAAAATATACTTTCCACGTTCTGTTTTAGCTTGCAATTTCTGTACCGAGATAAAACTCTTCGTGTGTGCTTCCTTTCGAGTTCTTTCCCTAAATTTTGAAGGGGACAAATTGTCCCCTTGACCGTTTTTTTAAGGGACAATTTCAATTGCAGTGCGGGATTGGCGCAATGGCGCGGCCTGGCTCAAACCCTGCATATGATACTGCTATTTTATAGTTTGCTGATCTAACACAGCAGAAGTAAGCGAAAAGAAAAGCGATTACTGCCATCGGATTATGTCAACTTTTAGCCTTAAATACGTGGCATATCGTCATAGTAAGTGGGGCCCATTAGTAACACATATACTACAGAGATTTCACCGCTGTGTTGAATAGGATGCATGAAAAACTCATGAGAAACATTGAGTAACATTTTTCCCGAGTTTTAAACGAAAACTTTTTAAGGTTGTCAATTGTGAGAAGTATGAACGTAAAAAATTCTGAGTAATGCACTAAAGCTGATTACATCCCAGGTTAAAGTGAGTGTTAAGACAAGGTTAGTAGATCATAGAAACCGCCGCAAAAGATATGCGTAACCTTTCAAGACGTTTCTTCGTCAATTTTAATGCTTTGTCTCTGTCACGCATGACAATGTATGCACTCGCTCAAATCACAAGATATCACGCTTCTGGACGTTTACACGTAAAGAAAATATTTGTGGCTTAAAAGGTCACGCACTTAAAAGCCACTGAAATTGACTCCGAGAATACTTCGTCTCTGAAAACATTTCCATAAATGTTTAGCCAGCTTGGCAGTTAAAAATATACATCTTCACATATATTCGCCCACGATAGCGTTACCCTAGATAAAAGTTATGAGTATACGTTGAGTGGAAAGTTACATCAGTCACTGCAGCCGAGTTTTGCGGTGCTGTCATCACGAGCGTCTTCATATTCCGGTGAATTCGGCTGTCGTTCATTCAAAAAACACTCGCCTTGAACAGTTTGTTTTCTACCTTGTCATGTGAAAAAACTCGCGTGTTTTTATGAGCCATAATTCGGCTGAAGTTCACTGAACATTTCACTTCAAGATTCTGTATTAGAGACTTAGGAAGCGGCTAGAGCACTCAAGAAGTGACACTTCTTTCGTGCTCTAGCCGCTACCTGCGTGCTTTATAACAGAACAGAGCACAGTCAAGGCTTCTCTATTTGTTAAATAATCGGTAGTTTTCACGATTTGTGTGTGTTAACTTGCAAAATACTTAAAACCTTTCGTAAAGAACACTTCGAACAGTTTTGCAGAATAAAAGCAAAACAAAACAAGAAAAAACGAGACTCCAAAGCAAAATGTACTGAAAGACGAGAGTGCAAGAGTTTCGAGATTTTACGATTAGTATTCGAGACCTTAGTTGACAAGATACCTTTACAAGCGATTTGCCAATCCTTAAATTGTTCTGAAATCAACACTCAAGCTGGAGGGTACAAATTTCAAACCAGGGTTAGCCAATAAGGAGGTTCGTGGTATTTTCCGTCCTACCACCCTGACAATCTATACATAAACAAAGGCTATTTTTGAGCATAGGGAACAAAAACCCTGAATTTTCATATAAGTATGGGAATAGGAGGTAAAATTGATTTACCTTAACTGTGTGTCGTTTTGGAATCCGGTAAGTCTGATGCCATTCCTATCGTGAATTAGTAACTGAATTTATGTACAAGAGGGCCGCTTATTAACAAAAACAATGGACTAAAAATACACTAATAGGCAGACGTCAATCAGTTTACAGACCAATTAAAAAACGTAATGCCCCGGATGTCTGTGGTTCACCGCAGTGCCACATTACGAAACGTGTTTTCGTTTCGCAATGTGATAAAACGGTGAACAAAGACTGAGTGAAAGGTCAAGGAAGCATTTCAAGGACCGCCCATAAATGTGACGCACTACCGAAATACACAAATATGTCAAAATAAACACAGTTGATCTGATTTCATTTCTGGTGCGTATTGTGCGGTAATAATGTATGTGCGCCAAGATGGCTGCCGCTTACTGTCGTCGTTGTTGTTTTTTTAAGCTTTTGTGCTTTGTTACCTTGTTCGTTCAGTATCTTGACAAGCACAATTCAATCTGTTCGCCTCCATCTACCTTTAAAGGCCCTTTTAGCGTCAGTCGAAAGCTATTTTCTGCTTCTCGCTGCGGTCAAGACCTTGCTGTTGCAAGACGCTCAACTAAGTTACCGATCACCAAATGGTCAAAGCATGGTTCGACGGTTGCTGCTCTGTCTGAAAGAGGTTTCATCAAGGACCTATCTATTGCAGTGGATGTTGAAATTAACCCGGGTCCGGAAAATTTTAACTACATGCCGACTGCTTCACTTCAAACTTCAAGACCTAGATTTTCTTTCAGTCGACGTAATTTATTTCAACTTCGCTCCTGTTGTCCTAAGGTTAAACTGGATTATTATCTTATTCATCGCTTAAAGTCATTGGGAATTTATAGAGCTAGAGGTCGTAGAGCTGGTGTTAATTCTAGATTTGGATCTCGTCAACAACATCACAAGATTCCAGTTCGTGTCACTGACCACTGTTTTTTATCAACGACCAAACGCGCACGACTTCGACCCAAGGATACAAATTTGCATTTCATTTCTACTCACTCTTCTTCTTTACCCCGAATAATCCCCAAATGTATGGTCATTAATGCAAGATCACTTGTGAAAGTTGATGCTGCTTCTGCTTTGCATATGGAATTGCACTCAAACAACTGCGATATTTGCATCATCTCCGAGACATGGCTTAAACCAAATTTTCCATCTCATCTCGTTTGTCCGAAGGATTACTCAATTTTGCGAAAGGATAGAACTGACCGGTCAGGCGGTGGTGTTGCTATTGTCTGTAGGAGCGATTGGTTGTTGGAACGATTAGACAGCGTTTTTTATAATGCCTTTGAATGTTTGTGGGCTAAAATTACAACTCCCAACTCAAGCTTTTATGTGGCTGCTGTTTATCATCCTCCAGATCCGCCATATTGTCCTGATGATTTATTGGAACATCTAACAAATAGTTGTGATCATTTATTGACTGGTAATCCTAACAGCAACCTTATAATTTGTGGTGACCTCAATCAGCTAGATTACAATGATTTTCTTACACAACTAAATTTATTCCAGATGGTAAATACACCGACAAGAAAGAACAAAATTTTGGATGTTTTGATTACTAACGTCCCACATTTTTGGAGGAAAGTATCGGTCACTCAAGGACTAGTTCGATCTGACCACTCTGTGGTCCTGGTATATCCCAGAATCCCACTTAAGGCTGAAAGGAAAACTGTGATGTTCAGAGATGTTCGTGATCATCATAAACTGGATATGGATAAACTGTTGAAGTTTCATAACTGGGACAATGTTTATCAATGCGGAGATGTGAATGGAAAACTTAATCTTTTTTGTACCAAGATTAAGACCATGTTTGATGAGTGTTTTCCGGGTATATCAGTACGTGTGTCTAATAGGGACCCCCTGTTCTTTTCTCCTCTAATCAAACATCTACTGGACCAACGGCGAAAATTGATTCGGCGAAGTAACATGTCAGGAAATTCTGTTTCGATTGAGATCCAAACTCTTCAAGAGAAAATCAACAAGTTGATCAGAGATAATCAAGTTCGAGCAGTTAAAGGGAATTTTGAGAAACATAGTGCAGGATCCAAATCTTGGTGGTCAACAGTCAATTCCCTGACAGGAAGGAAGTCTACCAACTCGCAAGTAAGCTCAATTATCTCCCCGAGCGAGATCAATAATTTTTTCTGTTCCATTAACACTGATCCCCTTTATAAACCCATTGACACTGTCACTATCCCGGAATCAAGCGAGATGCCTGTTTTAACGGTCTCCAGTGTTACCAGGAGTCTACTGAAATTAAAAAGAACTGCCTCTGGTCCAGATGGAATCCCGTACTGGTTTTGGAAAGAGTTTGCGTACGACCTCGCTCCTGTTGTTACCCATATTTTCAACTGTTCTTTGGAAAATCACATTGTGCCTGATCTTTGGAAATTGGCCGACATAACTCCCTTGCCTAAAGAGCCCAACTTTAAAAATTGCACACAGTTGCGGCCTATTTCGCTGACTAATGTAATAATGAGGGTTTTTGAACGTCTTGTATACAGACAAGAATTATCTCAATATATGAAGAACTTCATTAGACATAGTTTGACTAAGAAATGAATGACACAGTAAACGCTGCAACATCCTTTTATATGATCACTAATTAGCCGACAATTTAAAGGAGCGTGGGCTTGACTAACGCCGATTAGTAGTGATAATTTTAATAATGAGGGTTTTTGAACGTCTTGTATACAGACAAGAATTATCTCAATATATGAAGAACTTCATTAGCTTCGACCAGTTTGCATACCGCAAAGGCCACAATACGACAATGGCCTTAATTAAGTGTCAATATGCTTGGCTGAAATGGCTTGAGTCGGGTTTTGATTGTGTTAGAATCTTCTCTTTTGATTTCAGCAAAGCTTTTGATTCGGTCCCTCATGATATCCTCTGCTCTAAGTTGAAAACACTTGATATAAATCCATACGTGACCAATTGGATTATTAGTTTTTTACAGAACAGGAAACAAAGAGTTGTTGTTGATGCCATTGTCACGGACTATGTAAATATCAATAGAGGTGTCCCTCAGGGGACAGTTTTAGGCCCTATACTATTTTCTATTATGGTCAATGATATTAAGGCCATTCTACCAAATCAGAATTTACTTGTGAAATATGCTGATGATTTAACATTAAGTATTCCAGTAAAATCGCTGGCTAATAACGGCAATTTAGCAGCTGAGGAGGTCCGATCGATCGTCGCATGGACATCTGCTAATCGTATGCAACTAAACTTCAAGAAAACGTGGGAGATGCTTCTTAGAGGCAAATCCACTAAGGCCTTACCTGCTCCTCTGGTTTCTATAGAGCGTAAACCATGTCTGAAGTTGTTGGGTGTAACTTTTCAATCTGATCCGTGTAACTGGGACTTACATTTTGATAATATTATATCGAAAGCCAGTAGTCGTCTGTACATCTTACGTGTTTGTAAATTCTATGGACTGCCGCTGGATCATCTTCATCTTCTCTTTATCAGTCTTATTCTACCTATATTTACATATGCTGTAGAAGTATGGGGCTGCGCGTATTATCATAAGTATCTGAGTCGCATAGACAGGCTGTTCAAGAGAGCTTTTAAGCTTGGCTACTGTAAAGAGCTTTTTTCGATTGAAAATATTATTATTCTAAAAGATAAGAAGTTGTGGGCCAAGATCACCGACAGCGATTTTCCAACAGCTTTAGATGACCTTTTGCCACCAGAGCGAACAATGGATACGCTACGTAAGAGGCGCCATAATTATATTCTCCCGCTTGTCAGAACTGAACGTTTCAAAAGGACCTTTATTAATAGATGTTTGTTCTCTTATTAGTTATTCAGTTAGTAATTTAGTTAGTTTATTAGTTTTATACTTGCTGATTTCATATCATTGTAACTAAACACGTTTGTTGTTTAGAGTGCTTAATAAAGACTTATTATTATTTTTTCAAAATCTGCCTGCCCCACCCATACACTTCAGTGTCTTTGAAGTTTCTGCGGACTTTCCGAAATTTTAGAAATTTGTGAAACACCGGTCGCATAAGGAAACTCGCTGTGATAATAGACATTAATCCTTTTTTGACGGATTATTTATCAAAACTTCCCTAGTGCGACCCGGGCCTAATGTTTAGAAATAAATTTGGATCTACTCTTGCGTCGGCGCAGCATCGCTATAATGCATTGCAACCCGGCCTTATACGAGAAATTATTATTACATACTATTTTTAACATATTACCTCAGTATCGAAATTAATCGGTAACTTCAGTAAAAAGTGTCTTGGGACTGTTTGAGTGTATTTTCATAATTTCTGGTTTTTTGGAACATATGTACTGAAAACGTCTATCAGTGTGAAAAAGAGTGGTAGAAAGACAGTTAGTATATCTGTTATCCTCTCCACAAATCGCTGTCATCCTGTAGAGTGAAGGCTTTAAAGAAAACGATAACGACACAAAATATTCAAGGTCATGATTTATTTTCCTTTGCAAATTATGCCAATGAAAGACCTTCGGTAATAGAGGAATATACCAATTTATACAATAAGCTGAAATATAAATACATTTTGATCGGTTCCTTATTACGATCTATTGGAGGGCAGACGCATAGAGGAAGTCATCATCATTTTGTTTTGTTACCATATAAGTCAAATAGATTCCATGTCACCGTGTGTTTGTACAGTAGTAGATCACAGAAGACGTTAAAATGTGGTAAGAACATCAGAGACATGCTGCTGCGCCTCTTGCGCCATTTTTCTTTTCTTCTTGCTTCATTTCGACGTCATCAGTGATCTATTTGTTTTCTATAATTAAGACTTAAAAAAAGCTTTAATGATGACGTCATTTATACGTCTGTCCTCCAATAGATCATGAGTGAGAACCAATCAAAACGCGTGCATAACTGAGCTTATTATATAATACTAAACAGACGCATATCAGCGTGGAATCTAAGAGTTAAATTTAGACTCGTTAATATTCTTTGCATATTAGCATACGCTACTGACACTACTTCAACAAATTTGTCAGGTATATGAGAAAACCACCTTTGACAACATGTTCATTCTTTACCGTTTTTTTTTTTTTACTTTTCTGGCTGGTTCCACGGGTGAACTGTTTTCATTCACTGATCGTTTCTTCTTTGAATGGTTTTGTGGCAGGAATTCATGATTGTTTCGCGTAGATTCTTCCCTCCCTTCAACATGCACACTTGTTCCATTTGATAGATTCTCCTTAGGTGACTTGTTATCTGCACAGTTGCCAGATTTTTCAGTAATTTTAAACTCATAGGTGCTTACTTTCCAGTCAGCTTCATCAGGGTCAGAGGCATTCTCATCCATGGTTCTCTCAACATAAGTAGCATGTCCATCTTTATCAACTAACAACACTGTGTTGGTTCTAAAAAATAAATTCAACAAGGTTAACATCTAACCTATACTAAGAAAGCTGGGATAAGATTTCTTATTCTATATTTATTGTATGTTTTGGTTTTTTCCAGTCCTACAATATCCCTTCTTCTGCTAATGTTTAAATTTATTATGGGTGATATTTATCAAAGGAACTCTGTCATAATCATGTAATTTAACTTTCATTCAAATAAATGGTACTTGAAATTTGATTTAAAGCTTCACTCATGGCAGAATCTGTATAAAGATCCATTACTAACAGTAAAGTGCATGTAAAAAAATTCTGACTCTTTAGTGTAAGTGTGCTCAAATTAACAATTGGTTCATACGTCTCAAGAAGCTAGAGTTGCTCTCGGCTACGCCTCGAGCAATTCTTACGCATCTTTCGTGATCTCCAAACTTCCCGCGTGCTTCATACCTCGATGAACGCACAGCTGACGTATGAACCAATTGTTTTATAACATTTTCAACCCGATGGTTTAAATGTTGTGAAATGGTTGATATTCCCTCTGCTACGATTCAGCGTGTTGATAATTTTGTTTCAGGAAAACATTTCGCTACGCTGTAAACGATCTTGTCTTAGATTGGTCAAAAACCTGACAGATGAATTCATGCGTGTAAATGAACTTTACTTTCTGATTGAATACAAAATTTTCTTATCCAAAAGAAAAACAAAGATGCTGTTTCATTGGCTAATTTACAAATCGCGGAGAAATTTTTTTTCTCGAGGGATTTGTTTGCTGACGTCATGAGCGTGCACAATAAGAATGTGAAATATATTTAAGTTCACACGGCAACCAGGTGGACAATCAGACATAGTTTGATGCTACTCTGGTTTGCAGATTTAATGAATGTAACTGAAGAAGTTACAATTCATAGACCCAACATTTCGACACTCCTGTCTAGCGTCTTCATCAGGGGTCATCTAAATGCTGCAACAAGAGGTTCTTTTATATGATCACTAATTAGCGGCCTTTTTTTTGACGAGGTGTAAATAGGCGTCAGGAAGCAAACCGCCCTCGTCACGATTGAAAGGAGCGTGGGCGGAGTTAATATGCCAAGCCTCAAAACAAAGGCGCTGGTGGTAACGCCGTAGAATTATCCCACCCAATTGTATGGTTGGTTAGGCATGTATGCTCCGATAAAGCTGAATTTTCCTTTTTGCAAAGAAAAACCGCTTTTTGGTGCTCTTTTAACCGTGTACAAAACTGACGTTTGTTCTGTCCGATGTATTCGTTCTCACAGTCATTGCAAGGAATAGAATAAATGGCGTCGGTTCGTCGTTGTTCTTTCGTGACAGGATCCTTAGGTTTGGCGAAAATATGCCCCAAAGTCTGAAAAGGTTTTTGAAGAATGTGAAGCACGCTCACGCAAGTGAATTTGATTAGAAAAATTTACCGGCTATGTTATAAACTTGTTTTAGCAATTATTATTCTGACTTCTTATCAGGAACAGGGAATCAATGTTTATCTCTCTTTCTTGATGAAAAAGTTCTCAAATGTACCTTGTTCCATATTTCAACTCTTTGCAGTTGACAAAGATTGCTCGACAGGCATTGATCAGATTTTCATTGCCTCCTTCATCTTGAGGACCCAAAAAACTCTTGCTGTCACCACAGCTGAAATGCCTTTTAGAAATATTGATATATCATTAAAAAAGCAAAAGACATTTAGAAAATAACCAATGTAATTATAAAACTGATATACCCACATGTCCCAGGATGGAACACATCCATTGAACTTCATATAAAAATATTTTTGACATTTAGTAGACTCTCCTGTCACTAAATGTAAAAAGGAGCACAGTTTACAATGAAGTGGTGTGAACATATTATTTTGCTTTACTCTATCCAAAAATGAATTATACACCCATAACATTTTGTAAGTCCACTTCACTTTCTTTCTTTGACATGGGATCAAAGAGGGAAATCCTAGGTGCATAAAATGGGCCCATCTTTTCTGCACAGGTAGCCAATCTACTTTATCTTGCCCATTGGCACTGCCAGGTGTATAATAATATGTACTTAAAACTGATGGCAATACAAATTTAAGTGACTGTAAATTAACCAACCTTTGTCTGGTACTCAACAGGTCCATAAGTTTATCAACAAGCTCTTCTTTCGTGGAAGTTTCTTCAAGGATTTCAGCAAATCTTTCTCTTCCATAGGCCATTTTGGGCCAGAAACAGTTTAACACTTTGTTTGATAACACATGAATCCCAGGTTCCAACATTGTTACCTGTTTGTCTTCAACATTACAGTACCATCCAATCTTGGTCTCACCATTCTGTGACAATTTCCCCACCAAAAGATTAAATCCATTGTACTTATCACCTTCACTACCCACTGCCTCAAGGTAACTCTGAACATCACCACTTCCTTTCAAAAAATCAGGCACAAGATGGCCTCTTCCTCTTGCTTTGGGATCTATGAATTTTGGTGCCTGTCTGTAGTTTGTGACTGCTGCAAATTTACCATCAGTTGTTATACCAAGCCATGTTCCACCTTTTTTCCCTGGCTCAAGATCCATGCCTGAAAAGAAATAAGTCACTTTGTTAATACATCTATTTCATTTAATGCTAACAACTGTATAAAGATAATGGATATCTCTCAGAAAAGCAGAATGATTATTTTTTTACAACATTTTACTGCCATGAAAAATGTTCTTCTGTAGAAAATCTGTTAACTTTTGCCATGACATTGATTGCAGAGTTATAAAGGACATGCAGGTTATATGTTTGCTTGGAGCAATTCTCCCTAGGGAGGTTTTCTTACTTCTTATGGAGTATTTTTATCGAGTAAAAAGATTAAGCATGGTCATAATCAACATAAAATGTTTTCAGTGAAACAATTCACAAGTACCTCTTCATTAGTTAGCTATAGATTTAAATCAAAAATATTATTTGGGATAAGCAGAAACTTCTGCACAGGCAAAGTTGAATCAAATTCCATCCGTCTGAAGCCTTTCCCACATTTAGAAAATACTACTATTGCCAAGGGTTTGATGTGATAACAGAGAACCTTGAGAAACAAGCTGGACCTCTAGCCTCCAGAGACATAGATCATGACAGAGTCAGAGTCAGAGTGTTTCAGCAACAAAATATACCTGCAATTATATTTGGATATTCCTTCCAAAACTTGGCACTGGCCGTTGGTCTGAAATAAAACTCATCTCTGTTTGACGCAATGATCAGATGGTATCTATCAGGGTTTGGCTCCCTGCATAAGTATAGGAACACAATGCACATGTTGATGTCCTTGCTCCTTCAAATTTTCTTTCTTTAATCTTCTAGCTCTGAAATACAAAGTCAGATTTGGTGTTGTGAGGTGATGTAAAAGGCGTGTGCTCTTAAGTAGTGATAGCTTTTGTTAAATTATGAATAAAATTCTCAAACATCAAAAGTCAGTGACCCCATTGAAATTACAAGTCTAAACATTATTCATTAGTCTTTTCTGATCAAAATGTAAATTTTTCTGTCAGCAATTAATCAAAATTAAAGTTTCTATTAAAGTTTCTATTTGCATTTTCATTGCAAAGTTGTACAAAAATGTTTCTTACATGGCTAGTTAATCACAATTTGTTTTTTGTTAAAGATTCAAATTGAGAAAGTGTCCACCATAAAAGATCTTTGAGCCTTTTTTTATAGATATCTCTCTTTTTTCATGAATTTTTTTCACTCAGTTGTAATGAATGCTTAAACTTGTTAAAAGGGTTCAGTTTAATAACTTATGAATTGTTTTTTTCTTCCATTTATCAAAATCAAAATTGAACATTTCATATCGAAAAAACTAACTCATTAAACTTTGAATGACACATATTCAATTTTTAAAGTCATACCAACAACTAAAATCAGGATGTTATTCTTTCAAATAATTCAGTCAGCCACTATTATATTTGTGCAGTATGATATTACTTAGAATTAAACAAACTTCAATTCAAGCCTCCTTTTCAAGACTTCTGGGAATGTAATAGATTCAACAATAACTAATGAGAGTCAAAGTAAAACTTCAAGAAACTCATTAGAGCGTTTTAAAATTAATTATTAAACTTTTAGATATAAGCTCTACTATGCACACACTTGCAAGCTTTTTCAAAATAATAATACATGAAGCGAAAATACTTGTCAGGTAATACGAGAGCTTTACTGGCATACACTACGAGAACTGTGGTGATATTTTCGTCTAATTTACGTCGCTATTCATCGGTAGACATCAAGGAGTTGTCGTCAGTTGTCAGCAAATTTCCAATAACTTTTGTCTAAGACAAAGAACCAGTTTTACTTGATCATGGAATGCGAACAACTTTCACTTGTTTTTCAGGAAAATTGTAGCAATTACGCAGACTCATATTACCTACCGCAATATTTTGACTCCAACGGAGCAAAGTATTGTTCACAGGTTCGCGTGTTTGATTTTGTTTGTAGTTCACAATGCCATATCGTGAATCCTGATTGTTCTGAATTGTTGCCTACTGTCTTTGTTCGTTAATGCTCGTAACCTGCGTCATCAGCAAGACCATTTCGAAAACCAAAAACCATTCAGAGACTTATTTGATAGGATGCATGGTTAACCATCACGAAAATTCAAAGGGATTATCGTCCTTCACACAGCTGAGTTATTCATGGCCTTCGTGTGTGACGGGAGTTACTACATCACGGGCGATGAGTAGGGGATGAAGAAAAGACCGAAATACGAGTGGGGCCAGCGGGGAAACAAATTTAGTACTTCATATATAGACATATCAGTTATAGTTGCGGAAAACAATAGTGTTGTAAGGCCGAAATATCAACAGTATACTTCGCTAAATAAAATGTTAAGCAATTTTTCAAAAGTGTTGATGGCACAAATATCTTTTACTGCTGTAATAAACAATAGAGGCATCGGAAAAGGCATCGGTGGCATCCGGAAAGGCACCAAGAAGAATTATATTTACGTTTTGTAACTTGCTGCGTGAAGAAAAAAGAAAACCAAAACCGTGGTCCCCAAATGAATTCTCCCACCTTGCCCCAAAAAATTTTCAAATTTTCCGCAACTTCACCTTTTCTTATTCGTAGGTCCGGCCAAGCCTTTATGGTCATTGGCTCCCACTAACTATGGCTTATAAATACAGGTGTTTAGTGTTAAATTGTAAAACTCCCCGAAGAAGTCTACGACAGTTACACGAAACGCGTCGGAGAATAAAGAAATTTTACAACTACCGTTCGTAGAGTGCTGCTCACAAGTTTAGTTTTAAAGATTTTTTTTTTAAATTTGGTGCGATAGCTGTGGTCAGTTTTTTCATGCAGGTTGTCTGGATGTACCTTTCGCAGAGACGTGGGGGGGGGGGGGGGGGACAGAGACACCAACACAACATTTCACCTGCCGTTCGCTTCGAAAATTAAGTTTTCATCCCGAGTTCATTTGTTAAATAAAATAGGAAAAAAAACACTTCGAAAGGAAAACAGAATTATTTTAACGCCTAGATCTTCTGAAAAAAGCTCTCCTAAACGAGTGGCCCTGATTATAAATATTTAAGCATGGTAAACACATTAGCCTTAACTTGGCTGTTTCTCGAAGCTCAGTGTTTTACTACATGCCTTTTTCACGTGAAATGAGGCCATTGATTATATATATATATATATATATATAATAAACACTAAAAGAACTACAGCTGATGGAAATTTAAAATTTCTTATCTAAAGGCTGTAGAAACAAACTTATTAATGACTCTAAAAATATAGAAATCTACAACGAAATTTTTTTAGAGTTGGTTAGCTTTTCATTTTTCCGTAATCGAAAGTCGAGATTGCAAAATTCAAGTGAAAAGCAAACCGACTGTGATTTACGCCGTAAACAAGTCAAGATACTTTTTTCCGTCATACAACAAGTTACATATCGTAAATATCATTCTTCTTGATACCTTTCCCGGTGTCACCGATGCCTTTCCCGATGCCTCCGTTGGTTAATATAGCAGTAAAAATATTGTTCCAGTCAAAGCGTTTGGAAAATTGCTTAACTTTTGAATTAGCGAAGTATAACCTGGTGACATTTTGGCTTTACAATAGATTGTTTTTTGCAAGTTATAAAACGTAAATATAATTCTTCTTGGTGCCTTTCCGAATGCCACCGATGCCTTTCCCGATACCTCCTTTGTTTAATACAGCAGTAAAATATATATGTGCCATCAACACTTTTGAAAAATTGCTTCACATTTTATTTAGCGAAGTATACTGTTAACATTTTGGCTTTACAACACTATTGTTTTCTGCAACTACAACTGATATGTCTCCATATGAAGTATTAAATTTGTTTCTCCGCTAACCACTCGTATTTCGGTTATTTCTTCATCCCCGCTCGTCGCCCGTGATGTTGTAATTGCCATGTGTGACACTAACATATCACGGTTCCAGGTTTCCCCTACATACTGGTAGTCCGCATGGAGACGAGGGTAAAATTGTCTGAAAGTGAGGCCTAGAAATCAATATGGCGTCTTTATATTTATAAAATTAATTTCATATCAAAAAAGGATATGGACGAACTCGGAAGCAGTTCACAGGATCTTCCTGATGGTAATAAATTGAAATATCTCATGAAAGCTTTTGAATCTTTTGTACGACACTAGATGTTGATCGTCTTTAAATGTTTTTTCAGATATTGCTGTGCTCAAAGCCACCATTGAAGAGTCAAGACGAAGAGAGCAACAGCTCCTACGAAGTAAGGAGCAGAACGAAATTGAGTTCGGCCAAAGAAGAGCAAAATTTAAAGAACTCTTTATGGCAAGAGAAGGTATCATTGCTTCATATGTAAATATTTCGAATTGTTCCTTAATGAATTTGGCCTTTCAAGAATACAAGCTTGTGTGCATTTGAGGTTTGTGGTTTCAGCTTTTAAATCTTAATCTGTGTGGCTAGTTTGTATATATATTTTTACATCCTAGAAATATTTTATAATTTTTCAATTCTTTAATGCTTTCTGAAATACATGTGTTAATCCTGCCCCTATTAGGTGTAAGCTATTAAGTGGACACTGTACTGATTATGCAACTGAATGTACTTCCTTAACTTCGTGGAAATACTGAAATTTAAATAAATTTCAAACTCGTGATGATAAGTTAAAAATGTTTCGGCTTCAGAGTCATGCCATCATTGTCTTATTGTGCTGTACCTGTTTGCTTTGTTTTTACTTGTTACATTACAATTATGTAAGTCAGTGTACCTCAAGGAAGCTCTTGTCATGGTGTTGATGACTTTTTTGTTTTAACGCCATTTCACAACACTGTTAGGATTAAAATTCCTATGATTTGGCATTTGCAGATGCTTACAGTGCAAAAGGCCAAAAAGGTTTTGCTAAACAATTCGAAATATAAAAGTACAGCAGTTTAGCTAGTAATTAAAAACCAAAAATATTATGAATTGTTTCATTCAGGCAAATAATTTTGTGGGTATCAATTGACATGATGCCCAGTGCCTGTGAGTATGGAATATCAAGTGTCAACCCAATGACAGTAGGTGCCATGGTCAAATTTGATTGTTGGTACTGAGTGATAGACCCTAAAGTGGATTTTGTCATTTTCTTTTCAGAGGAACTTAAAAAAGAAAAGGCAAAGCTTCAGGCAATCCAGGGAGAAGCAAGGAAGCTTAGAAATGAACTGCAGAAAGTTCTAGCTGAGGGTGATGGATATAGAGCTGCTGCAGTTTTGGCAGAGAAATCTCAGAAAGAGGAACTAGAAACAATGCGCTCAAAATACCAAGAAGAGATTGCGTCTTTACAACACATCATGTCTGGTAAGTTAAATTATTGAATTAATTAAGAGGAAACAGCAAAGAAGTACTTCCTCTGTGTTTTGATATTAAAGTTAAAGCTCACCATCCCCAAAAAGGTTTTAAATATCATAATACATAATCAGCAGATATTGTCATATAATATGTAGAAATGGGCAAATCCTTGAGAATATATTCAATGTGTAAATTGTGTAAATTTTATTATTGCAGAGTCTGTGCGGGAGGCCAAGGAAAGTTCTGCAGAACAGTTTGAAATAGAAAAGCACAATCTTCTGGCCAGAAATAAAAAATTAGAAAATGAATTAACAAACCTCAAGTCCCTCCTTTCTACGGAAGAGGAGAGTAGCAACAGACCAAGAATGTTGTCAGGGATCTCTGATGCAGTGGTCAATGTCATAAGAAGGAACACTACAGCAAGTGGTAATTCTAGTGTTGAAGATGAGGCTGTATCACCTGATGGAAAATCTTTGGAGAAAAGCATGGAAAAGGTAAATGCAAGTTAATGTTACTGACAAGAAAAAAATATTCTCACAAGTGATCTGTAATCAGAGTAATTGCAGAAGAAGCATGGAAAAACATAGAGGCTGTGATAAAATGTGAACCTGTGCCTCCTGAGTACATCATTGGGCACTACCACTAACTGTGCTATATAGCCACAAGTTTGTAGTTAACCTCCCTACATGTGGCCTCCTACTACTTTTACTGTTATTGAGAATGAAATTTTTGTTGTTCAGGTATAATTAGAAATTCGACTTACAGTTAAGATGAGACAACTCAATTTATTAAATAACCAGTTGACCCACTCCACATTACAACTCTACATTAGAAGAAGATGATGATGATGAAAACTTGGTATCATTAACAAACCAATGACACTGGTTTTTGAAACATTCTGTCATGATAGTGATTTTGTTAACAGAACATGGCTATGAGCCCCCTTCATAAGAGGAAGCTGATACAGTTCCTGGAGAGTTTTAAAAAGAAAAGAAGTGAAATTGCAGACAGCTTATAGTTTTACCCTTAGATATTGTAAAAAAAACTTTTTTCCATCTTTTTTAAAGGCCCAAGAGGATGCAGAAGCCTGGAGATCAATTGTTATGCCTTTAGAGGAGGTAACCCTTTTTTTGTTGTTATTTTGATATGCTTAACAGAAAATCTTGATTTCTTTGTATGTTTGTTTGTACCATGAACCATTAAAAATTTTATATACCAGTTAACAAGACAATTCTTTATATATCATAGCAACTTAACACTCAGCTTTTTAAGGGACAAAGTTTAATTTTTAAATTATCCAATACATTTTATCTTGCTGTATTTGGAACTATATTATTATTTCAAAAAAGGAATTTGTTAATGTTCATCAATAATTGGTCATCTTGTAAATAGGTGCTTTTGTTAACCTTCCTGTTTATGACATTTTTTATTAGGAATTATCCTTCACGAAAGCAAAATTAAAAGATTTACAAGAAAAGTTGCAAATTGCAGAGGCCAAGCTTAAGGTGTGTTGTTGTGTTGTTAGTAATAGCATTTGTAGCTCCAAATGATATCCATACCAACCCTGACAGAGTGCTGCTGGAAACTTGTCACAAATGCATAAAGAAAATAGGATTTATAAATGAGATCTTTAGAAGAGTGGGACAGGGGTCAGATTAAAAACACTGCACTAGTACAAGGGTATGGGTATGGGTATGTGTATGGGTATGGGTATTTTTTTGACTAGCACAATTAAAAAGTTCCAATTTTTCAATTGTGTTCCCATATTATTCAAACATTGTCTTTTTACTGTCATTTTTGGTCATCAGGAAGGAGAAAATAAAAAAAATGACAAAAAATCAGATGGTGGAGAAACTTTCTCAAGGGAAAGGTTTGAAGAGCTGCAAGAAAAGGTATATACGAACATTGAAAAAGAAAGAAATAACTAGATCAAGAGATTAAAACTAACTCAGATCAGTTCCAATCTTATAGAAATAACATTATTTTTGAAGGAAGTTGATCAAAAAAGAGCTCATTTTATAAGGTTTTTCAAATGCATTTTTTTTTATTTGTTGAAGGTAAAAGAGCTTAACCAATATCTAGAGGCTGAGCGGTCATCACGCACAGATCTAGAGATGTATGTGGCTGTCTTGAATACTCAAAAGGGTCAGTTGTTACTTTCACTTTCATCTGTAGTATGTCTGTACCATGTCCGTACCATGTCCGTACCATGTCCGTACCATGTCTGTACCATGTCTATAATATGTCTTTACCAAGTCTGTACCATGTCTGTAGCATGTCTGTACCATATCTATAACATGTCTGAAGCATGTTGTGACCATGTCTGTACCATGTCTGTACCATATCTACAACATGTCTGTAGCATGTCTGTACCATATCTATAACATGTCTGTACCATATCTATAACATGTCTGTACCATATCTATAACATGTCTGTAGCATGTCTGTACCATATCTACAACATGTCTGCACTGTGTGTCTGTAGCATGTCTGTACCATATCTACAACATGTCTGCACTGTGTGTCTGTAGCATGTCTGTACCATATCTATAACATGTCTGTACCATGTCTGTACCATTCTGTAACATGTCTGTATCATGTTTGTAACATATCAATAACATGTCTATAGCATGTCTGTAGCATATCTGTAGCATGTCTATTACATGTATGTAGCATGTTTGTACCGTGTCTGTAGCATGTCTGCACCATATCTATAACATGTTTGTAGCGTGTCCGAACTATGTCCGCACCATTTCTGCACAATGTCTGCACCATGTCCATACCATGTCTGTGCCGTGTCCCCACCATGTCCGCACCATGTCTGAGGCGTGTCTGTAGCATGTCTGTAGCATGTCCTTCCTATGTCTGTTCCATGTCTGTAGCATGTCTGTATTATCTGCAAATTTCTGATTATGAAATTGTGCTAACAAAGTTAACTTGAAATTTGTGATTGATTCTGTAGGGGTTTTGCAAGAAGACTCTGAGAAATTAAGAAAAGAGCTTCACAATGGTAAGTTTGAAGATAACAATATGTTCAAATGTCAGTTGTCAGCAGCAACCCACTAATCCCCATTATAGCTTTTCTAAGTAGGCAAATAGTCATTTTTTTTCTTTTATACTGCAGCGAGGAGTCAGTTGTTGTCAAATGGTACCGATTAAAAATTTTCATATTTCCTTCAGTCTGTAGACTGTTAGAGCAAGAAAAAATGTCACACAATGATTTAAAGCAGACATGGGAGATGGCAAATGTACAGTTTGTAGAGAATCTTAAGGTACAGAGTGAAGCTTTCACCAGAGTATGGAATGTCTTGACACCTGCTCAGCAAGCTGCTGTTCAGAAAAAACAGGGGCAGCAACAGGAAGAGCACCAGGGACAAAAACAACAACCACAGGTTGGCCAACTTATTGATCTGCAGAGTCCGCAGACATCCCCACAGCCAACTAATGAACAGGTAAACATATTTGATAAAAATCAATTGAAGTGCAGTCACCAAACTTTTCCCTGACTAATAAGTCTCTAATTTGGACTTGTATCCAGTGTTAAAGGGTTGCATAGTAAGTGTACTTTTCTTTGTTTCAATTTTTATTGTATCAGGATAAACCTTGAGCAAATAAAATACTTACTAATTAAACCTATTTAAAATAATTTAAATATGCTCAGTTACCTTCAGTTTACTTTTTCATGCCAGCCATGGTGGAAGCCAGGTCACCCATCTAGTTGTACTGACAGTATAGCACATGATGGCATCATGTTACCACTCTCTCACTGAACCTTTAGTTTAGATTTATCATAGCATGTTCTTCATCATGATATGGAATTGGCTTGATCAAATTCTTCAATGTATTCCTTCTCCTTGATCAATTTTTGATTGTGTTTCAATGACTTGTTATTCGTGTCTGTCCTTGTAGCCTAGCCATGTGCCTTTATCTCCACAAGTGCCTGGAGAATCTGGTTCAATATGGGACAGCATTCCTACAGTTCCTTGCACAAATGAGGTTTCATCTGAAATTAATAATCTTCCTGGAATAACAAAAGAGGAAGACAATGGAGGAAGACTAAAGAGAGTACACTCAGCATCTGACATAACATGGAGTCGTGAGAGTGAGCTGTGACTATTAAATTACTTTCTTGAATTGACCTGATTGTAATGTTAAATGTGATAAGCTAGACCTACATATTATAAATATCTTTTTTTATTTTCTCTGTAGCACTTCTGTGAGAGGGGATCTTGATCCTCAAAATTGATTGGCTAACCAAGTCATAACTGGTCCTGCTTTTTACAATACATATCATGGTTGGGAACTCTTTTCTGTCTACAACAACTTTATTTTGAAGGCTTTGAATAACTGTGATTTCAGATAACAATAGTGAGGTTTCCAGAGCACATTCTGAAGAGGAGCTAAATCCAGAGCTATCATCAGGTGCCTTGTCTAATGTACCTCCAGCTGATGGACCCAGTTCCCTCCCTTCCAGACCTCCGTTATCCTCTAAACGATCTGGGGCCAAAGTTGACTGGAAGAATTTCCAGGAAGCTGTGAGTTTGTCTGAGGTGTTAAAAGTGTATTGATGAAGTGATGAGAGCTTAACATTTATCATTTTATCTGATCCTTTGCATTCAATTCTAAATGTATGGCTATAAATCCATTTGTATCTTAGTGATGTATCTATCAAGCTCTCTACTGTCAAACATTACTGACCCTAGTTCTTATATAGTAGTACTATTCTATATATCCTCCCTCCATTACAATCAAATAAAGTTGTTTAAACTACATATGACCATGATTTGCTATTAGAACAATTGAAGAAACATTGGTTACTTTAAACTATTTTGTAACTGTGTTTTTCTTGGAATTTTTCTCACTGTTGCAAGAGATTCCTAGGTGCATAGCTACTCTCTCTTTCAAAACATGTCTTAACTGAGACACAATGAACTGTTTATCAGAGTTCAATCATATACATTTATATGTGCATTCTGCAGGTAAAAGTTTCCCATGAAAGCAGCTTGAACAGATCTTGTGCCATGTGTGTTAACTATGAAAAGCAGCTTCAAAAGATGCAGGATGAAAATCAGAAGTTTCAAAACTTGGCATCTAATTTACAAGTGGCTCTGGATCAAGAAAAGGTACAATCTCTACCAAATGTTAAAAAGTTGCTTATTAATTTAATTAAAAATGTGCTGCAAATTGTAATAATTCTTGCTGTTTTACTTGAACTCAATTAGTTAGTCTGATCAGAAATTAGTTATGGTTAATTTTACGTGTTCATTGGTAGCTATGAACTACCAAAAAATATCTTTCTCTTTGGAAAAGCCTGGAAAATAAAGGTAAATGGCAAGAAGTCAAAGTAGTAGAAACACCCAGACAGTTCTGTTTTAGGGCTATAATTTTATTCCTCCTTTCAATTGCATATTCCCAAAACTTACTTTTTTTTAATAGAAGGAATTGTTTAAAGAACAAAAGATGAGAAGCAAGTTGGAGGAGAGTGTGTCAAGTGCTGCAGAGGATGCACAGATGCAAATCAACAATCATGCAATGACAAACAATAAGTTGGAAAAATTGATTGCTGGGCTAAGGGAGAACTTTGAGGCAACTAAACATGGCGCCCAAACTCAAATTGTAAGGATTGCATAATCATCAACTTTTTTCAAGGTTGTTTAAAGTTTTTAGTCTAACACAGTTAAATGAAAGTCTTTGCAGACAATTTTGTTGGCTTTACCGGTTGTTTGAAAGTGATACTGAACATGATGAACAAATTTGTTTATTTCCTCTGTAGGCAAAGCTTGTAACCTCAAGGGATCAGTTGATGCAGGAGGTAACCCTGGCAACGACTTTGTCCAATTTATACATTTGATAAATTGTACAAGCTGTTTTGCTTTGTCTAGTGTTTTTTAGTTATATTTATTTATGTATCTCTATTGCTGTTAATTATTTATCCCTTTGCTTCAAGTTGTTAAACACTATACACTACAACACATGTCATTGTTGGAATATTTTTGTGCATGCTTGTAATTTGATGGGATTTGCACATTTATAGCTTTCGCAGCTTAGAACAGAATATGCTGCACTGCAAGACAATGCTATTCAGCAACTGACTCATATGGACTCTGATGCCAGGCTGGCTGAAATGCATGAGCAGTTGATGCAGATTAGAGCAGCTTCTGAGGTCACAGAGGAAAAGCTAAGAAGTGAGGTGAGAAGAAATCAACAACAAATGAGCTTGTTTTGTAAAGTAATGTTCATGTGATGTTATGCTTGCCATGATGATCCCATGAAATGATGAAGACTTCACCATGTTGGTGGAGCAAACCATCCCTGGAGTGGATATATTTTCTTAAAATTCAAATATGTGCTGATGTGTAGCAGTTTGAGTGGTGCTAGAAAAGGGATTCCCCCTCTACTCTTGTGTATGAACTGTTTTATATTATTTTAAGGTGGCTTTCCTGAAGGATCGTGTGATGGCAGAACAAGTTGCAAAGGACAGTCTAGAAGCAATGCTTCAAGGGGATGTGGATAACACAAGGGTTGAACTTGGTAAGAGTGAGTCTTTCATCAATTGTAAATGAAAATGTTATTCTGTCTGGATTCTTCAATGCTCATGGGAGCAATTGGAACAGTTTTTGTTTTTTAATATGAGAACCTAATTGTATTTAAGAAGTGTGTGTAAATTTATCCTTTGGAACTACTCTTATTTCCCATTTTAGAGCTTCAATTGCACCGCAAGAATTTATTTACAATTTCATTTCTTCCCTCCCTTCTTTCTGGAAAAAAAAAGAAAAAATAAAGAAACCATTGAGATGTACATATGATTATCCACCATTGATAAAACTTCAACCTATTCCCCCTTCCAAAAATTGTTACCTTCAATTGGAAGTGAGGTTTTTGTTTTATTTTTAGAGAGACTAAGAGGAGAGTGTGATAAGGAAAAAAAAGCCAGGGAAGAGGTATTTGTCAGAAAGTACAGATGTGTCTTTTGAGTAACATTATTCATTTTGAATAGGTTTTTATAGCTATGTACTTTTTTCATGTAAAAGATGTGTAAGTTAATCAACATAGTTCATACAGACATGAACACTAAAAAGTTGTAAGATTCACATTTTAGTGTTACTGTCAACTTTAAGTCACTAGGTTTCGACTGATAGACCCTTGAGATTTTATTGAAATAACCACCAGTCTAGACAGATGCTGTACAACTTGATCAACTGGGATCTAAAATGACTGCCTAGTTAGGGTGCTAAAATTATGTTGGTGTGATACACAGGCACAGGCCAGGCTTAACATGTCTGGTCAGTCCATAAGGAACACAGAAGACAAATCTAAACAAGTCATCATTGCTCTTAGAGGACAACTGGATGAAGTTAATGCAGAAAAGGTATTAAAATTTTAATTTAGTTTTATCATCCTTTTCCAGGTGTTCTTTCCATCATAATTCCTTAGGGCTGATTGTGTGTGCTCCATCATAAAGGCAGTATGCAAATCATTGCATAAGGAAATTGCAACTTGTAGTAGAGCATCTTGTCCCAGCTCTTAAGAATGTCTGAAGCATCTTTTTTTTCATGCAGCGCTCAGAGCATTTTATCATGAAGTCATTGTCTCATGACATCCCCATCATGCTGAAAATTAATTCCAGCTTTACCCAATGAATTGCTTCATCAACTTAAATGCAAACTTTTGGTGTTTTGTATGGAGTTGAAAAGACCAAAACAGGTGTTGGGCATTTCCACATAAAAAAAACCCAAGTAGCTGTATTAAAGTAAATTCAATCGAATACAATTGTGATACTAACTTCTGGTTAACTTGTTATCATCTTAGTGAAGAAAATGTCACCTATTTTTTATTGCAGACTAAGGCAGAAGAGGAAAGCAAACAATTGAGAAACCAATTACAGGCAATGACTGAACAACTAAACCAAAGTGAGACCGTTCAGAGAGACTTTGTGCGTTTATCCCAGTCTTTACAGGTGATTGGTCAAATTACAGTTAATAAAGAGCAATGGTTTTGATGCTCAGCTGATTTCTTGTTATACCCTGTTGCGTGTTTTTGTTTTTCCAGTGCCTCCCTCAGGATCAACCATTGCATCATATTCCATTCAGTTGTGTTAATATCTTTATCAATGATGAGAGAAAATTGTTTTTGATTAATTTTTTAGATGCAAATTGCTCAAATTCATGAATCAGAAACAGATGTTCGCTGGCAGTATCCTGATGACATTAAAGAATGTAAAAGTTGCCAAAAAGTATTGAAAGCAAACAAAGATAAGGTGGGTGAAAGTATAAATGAACTGCTGTTTCACTCTTGTTGACAATCAGTTCAAGAAAGGTATAGTTTTTAGACAAAGAGTTTTCCTTTTGGGAAAGGTGGCCTTGTTTGTAATTCAGGCTGTCTGACAAATAGTTCTTTGCATACAGACCAAAACATTTCTTGTGAAAAAAATATCACATTATTCAATAAAATATACTTTGCTTATTTATTATAATGTTTTTTAATCTTTCTAACCCAGCAAAACTGCCATCATTGTGGTAAAATATTCTGTGAACAGTGTTTGTCCAAGTCTGTGATGGGAAGTAAAACATCAAAGTGGCATCCTGTGTGTGACAGCTGCTATGTTATACTAAACAAGGATTCTTCTTCAACATTCTACAACACAACCCTGGCTGATGATCAGAGATGAATGGTTGTGGACTTGTGTACTGTGGAAGTTCAGGTTAAGGTTAATTTTGAGAAAGAGTACAAAATAACCCCACAGTTTTATTTCTTGCTAAAGAGAAAATTTTAGCTGATTCTTTACTTTCTATGAATTCATGAAAGAATCTGAATGGATTGACTTTCTCTCGTGATGAGGGGCAGCATTCTCTGCCTCTCTTGTAAGTAGATGATATAGCAAATGTAGGAAAGAAATGAACACTTCTTTAAGTGCTTGTTTAAAACCTTGGACTAAATTGCCAACAAATAGTTAACTAAACAAGTCATTTAGTAATTGACATTGTTGATCCATGATAATGGTTAACCTATTATATTAAGTCAGGTGCATTGATTCTGCCCTCGCTTAGAGGTTGGGGTTGGGTAGAATTTTACAGTTTTCATTGTTCTTTAATCATGCTATCATGATTATTATTAATATGGCTAAGCTTCATTATATGGAGGTTTGTATTAGACAAAACACAACTTGGTCCTGACATTATCAGAACATTACATTCATTGGTTACACAAATTTTGAGTGGGAATGAATTTCTTTGAGGAGACATTGTGCAAATGTTCTTGTTATGGTCTGCTTGCCTTACTGAACACCAGGCTGTTTTCCATATTTCAAGTTGGACTTCGATATTGTATGTATATTCTGATATTCAATTTTTTATACATACTTAAACAAATTAAATTGTAGAGGTGTATTATATAAATGGAACTTACAATAAAGAATGAAGATTCCCCACTCATTCATCTTAAATAATTTAATTGAACATTAAATAAAAGATGACTTTTTCAGATAGTTATGTGCAGAATAAATCTTACTCACTCAGGCTAAGAGTAACAGAGTTAAGTTATCATATCATTTTTGATATTTCATATTGATAGGAGCGGCAAGAGGGGAAATTAGAGGTACAATGTTAGGATACAATTTAATTTTTCAGGGTGTGTGGATAAGCAGAAAGTACGTCTTTCCTTGACCACATCTTCAGTTCTCCTATGGTGTGGTGCCTTAATTAGATTCTATAATCTTTGTTTCATCTTTAATAAGATCTTTAATAAGGAAACACACTTTTGGAATCTTTCTGTCTCTGTAATTTTTACAGTACAATTGTTAACAATTGATGTTTTCTACTAAATGTGTGCAACAGAAGATGGATTGAAATAAAGATCTTCATAAATTTGTTTTCAATATGCATCATTTCATAAATTGATTCAATCATTTTCTTATAGAATAAGTTAACTTTGGTAACTGGCTTCCTTATACACACTTTATTTTTTCAAATGGTCATTTTGTAAACTGTTTCTGAAAATTTATCTTGGGCTTATTTAACTTAACAACCCCTTTCAGCCAAAATAAAGAAATGATATCCTTGTGTGATAGAAAGACAGCCATTACATTGTTTGTAAAGGGGCACTTATTGTTTTTTATGTGCTCTGTCATGGTATTACAAGAGCCCATAAGATTAAACTTAAGGACAATTAGAAAAATGATCAGAAACCTGCCATATCCTGATTGAACAAATACTTGAAGAATAGATAGTTGTGAAATATAATTAATTGAAAGGCTGAGGAGTAAACATTTCCTTCTTGTCTTCCCTAGTTATTTTGCGTCTTTCTTATCTGGCTTCACTTTCTTATCCAGCTTCACTTTATGCAAGTATCACTTTCAGGCAGTGTGTGAGCTCAGAGGCTCTCAGTTTACATCAGGGTTTACCTAATACAGTATAAGAGTGAGACAAAAATACTGATAGCCTTATGCCTTTGTGGGAGCAACCATGAAATGAAGTTTAAGGCATAACTACCTAAGTGTTATTCTTTGACTTGGAATAAAATCAATTGCAGTGAAAATCAAGCCAATCAAAAGGGACTTGGTCATCACTTTATGATTCTCAACATGGCAAAACTAACATATTTATCCCTCTGAGATTTATAGATTTACTCTAATTAATTTTGAGACCAATCAACATTCTCACTTTCTAAGTAAGGAGGGAGGACAAGGCTCACATTACTGATGGTAGAATGTCTAGTGGCCTGAAAGAAATTTATTATTTAGCACCATACAAACAATGGTAAAACCATTTTAAATTTGTCAATTTGCCAAATTGTACCCTGTACCAAGTTTTATCTGAAGGGAAATGCTATAAAACTGAAAATAGAAGTATCACTGTTGCAGTTCATTTAATTGATATCTTGTTTCATGTATTTGTTGATTAGTTCTGTGCCTCTCATCTACATTTGATCTGATGGTTAATACCACAGCATCAGGTGGTACAACAAATTGCCATATTCAAAAATGAGGTTCTTTATTAACATTTCAGGGACTTTAGGAAACTGGTATCATATAGGATAAAAAGTTACATTAAGAATAATTTATTAAATTTAGGAGTGGTTCTGTAGGCAAAGCTTTGAAATGTCACATGTCAGAGAGCTCATTGACAAGCTTAAATCCAGTGATAATGGGAATAAAAACAAACATCTGATCTTCAGAAGTCTCTCTTGCAAAGTCATGGTTCAAATCCCGTGACAAGTGGCTAAAGTTGTAAAAATATCACTTGAAAAAGGTGAACATCTGGAGTAAAGTTTAAGACTTGTGGACTTCAAGGCCCCACTAGAAAAATTTATTTTTCAGTTCTCATCATCCCAATAAAAGCTGAGCTTTCTTTTCAAACGTTGAACTTTTTAAATGAACAAACCCAA